GTAGGCTGGGATGAAGGCGGACAATTTGAAATATCACTGGAAATCGGGATCAATTGGACAAGGACAGAAATTTCAATAGGTCAACTTGGTGCCCCTAAAAGAATTAACACAAGGGTTCTTAAGAAAACAAAGGGCGTAACCAACAAGGGCGGGTACTGTCGGCCGTTGACCCGATGGTCCCTGCTATCCATCCGACACATTTCTTGTTTGCCGTTCTGGCCGGGGAGGAATTTTCGAGATTTTCCAAAAATATTCGTTTCCCTACGAGGACCGACGGAAAATCTGTCAGATGGTGGCTGCGGGTCTTAAAACGAGCAGTGGGGGGAAATATACCATATGGACAATTTTCATATAACGGGTCCAATTGACTGCCTAAAGTGATGGCCCGCTACATTTATGCTTCAGTGATTCCATATGTAATCAACCAAATATTTCCAATAAATAAGGAGGGGACGGGCCCTCAGGGCCCCTGGATCCGCCTGTGGTAGCACTATCTTAACATTAGTATTAGGCATTGGATTATTGAAATTTGAGAAAATAACAATTATCTTAAGTTTATGGATTTTTAGCAGCAAATTAAAAAATATTGACCATAAATTATGCTAACTCTTTACCGTGAAAGGGTAACTTTAAGAGAATTATATATTACATGTACATATAATTTGATTTTCACTGAACATGCTGAAAGCCCCTTACAGAAAGATGTTTCTCAAAATTAGTATATTGTCTTTCTTCTAACAAAAAAAAAAAAATAGATTTTACTTTGAAACAGGACTCAATGTTTATTACATATAAAACATGTGACTTTTTGTCCTTGACTTTTTGTCTGTGACTTTCTGTCCTATATTTTGACCGTTATCATGACAAGGAAAAATGACTTTATACCTATTTATATGTAATAGGCTTGCATCAAATTTATAGAAACACTTAGATTGAACCATTAATTTTATCAAATAAGAAAATATAAAATGCTTTTCAAAAATATTAGAAAACGATAAATGTATTGACTTTCGGGAACATTTGGCATACCTCAAGTTAAGTCGTTGAATATGTTTACTTATATTTTATTAAAATATTTTAAACTACCAAGATATCGTGCATGCAGGGGCTCGGGCATACCTCAAGTAGTCCGCGAAATGTTTATTTTTTTATGAAAATATTTAAAACTACCTAGATATCCTACACAAGGCTCGGGCATGCCTTAAGTTGTACGTGGAAATAATTATTTACTGTTATGAAAATATTAAAAAACAATTATATTGGATTTATCAACTTACATGTATTTTTGGCCTACTTCACACCTTTTGTGTGTTACTTTGTGTTTGTGATCAAACGTGTCAAATTATAACCGGTAATATACAACATAATTTACAACACAGTAAAATACAATATACTACTCAATACCATAAAAAGTTTAAATAACCTGGTGCCCGTCACAGAACCCTAAACTTTTTTTCCCAGTTTTTATTACTATTTGATAAAGACTTTACCATTCAATCTTAATGTTTTTTTTTATATAAATTTTAAGCAAATCCTATAAGATATAAATAGGTATTAGGTAGTACAACGATCAGGACACAGTCAACGTTGGTCAGGTCAAGTATTTTTTTACCCAAAAATATATATTTTCCCCCTTTTTTAAATGATATAAAATAACACAGTAATTTTCATCGGTTAGGTCATTGCTGTTGTTGGTCAGGTCATTGTCAACGTTAGAAGGGTCACATTTTCGGAATTTTTCGGAATTTTTAAATATTTGTGTCTATATTTTTTCATATAGTTATATATTAAATGATCAAATTTTATTATATTTCAAATTTAACATAAATCCTTTAAGAAATAAAAAAAGTAATGAGCATTTTCATTTGGTCCTGTCATTGTCAGTGTTGGTCAGGTCACGTTTTATGAAGATTTAAAAGTTTTCTATATTTTTTCTTATATTTATGTATTAAATGGACTAAATTTATAGCAATTCAAATTTGACAAAATTTTTAAGAAATAAAAAAGTTATTAGCATTTTCGTTTTGTTCCAGTCATTAGTGTAACCCGTTTGTTTTCCCGTTTGAATGGTTTTACACTAGTCATTTTTGGGGGGCCCTTTATAGCTTGCTGTTCGGTGTGATCCAAGGCTTTGTGTTGAAAACCGTACTTTGACCTATAATGGTTTACAAATTATGACTTGGATGGAGAGTTGTCTCAATGGCACTCATACCACATCTTCTTATATCTATATACAACGTAAACCAGACGTTTCTCAGACTGTTTTCTTTTTTAATAAATCCTTTGCCGCGCGTTGTGTACTGATTGATACTTCAGTCTGGGAGAACAAGATTTATTTCAGTACTAGTTGTTATTAGCTTTGAGCAAACTTCCGCTGAGTAATTGAAAATACTCTAATGTCGGTGCTTTGTGTCTATTGTCTTAATGTTAGTTTTTTTTGTGTGTCTCGTACCGATCTTTTAACTAATTGCAACTGATTAGTGCAGGTTGTTCTTTTATTGTACTGTTACACCACTGTCCCAGCTTCGGGATGGGTTGAGTGCTCACAAACATGTTGTTGTACTGTTACACCACTGTCCCAGGTTAGGGGGAGGATTGGGATCCCGCTAACATGTTTAACCCTGCCACATTCTGTATGTATCTGCTTGACCCAAGTCAGGAGCCTGTAGTTGCCGTTTGTTGCTGTGTTATACATATTTGTGTTTCGTTCATTTTTTGTACATTAATTCGGCCGTTAGTTTTTTCGTTTGAATTTTTTACATTTGTGATTTCAGGGCCTTTTATAGCTGACTATGCGGTGTAGGCTTTGCTTATTGTCGAAGGCCGTACGGTGACTTATAGCTGTTGATTTCTGTGTAATATGGTCTCTTGTGGAGAGTTGTCTCATTTGCAATCATACCACATCTTCGTTTTTATATCAACCCTACCATATTCTTTATTTGCCTGTCCCAGGTCAGGAGCCTGTAATTTAGTGGTTGTCGTTGGTTCATGTCTCGACTCATATTTGATATTTTGTAAATTGTTTTGTTATGTATAATTAGGCCATTAGTTTTTTCGTTAGAATTGTTCACACTTTTATATCGAGCCTTTTATAGACGACTTTACAGTATCAGGTTTTTGTCATTGTTGAAGGCCTTACGATTGTCTATAATTGCTTAAATCCACTTCATATTTGAACTCCGGTGGATAGTTGCCTTATTATCAATTATATCCCATCCCATCTCTTCGTTTTTATATTATATACCTGACTTCCAAATTCGTGTTTTCCTGAACAAGCATGAAATATTTGTCACTGGGCGTTCAAAATTAGCAACAAACAATCAATCAATTTAAAATTGTGTTAAATAAGTGGAAAACCATTTGATATTTATCTATTTGTTGGGGTGGGGGACAGAAGGATTTCATATATGAATATGGTTGCCTGGTAAGAGCTGAAAAATAGGCATGATAAGCGACAGATTACAATGAATAAGAATACCCTCTATTCCCTTCCCCGTCCTTCATCTATAAATTTAAACTGACCACCACGGAATAGCTCAATAGTGTTCAAAGTAGCGTTTAACACCAATCAATCAAAATCCCTTCACTAGAATATCAAATAATCGTCCCTTCACTGTTATTGTCCGACGGTGTAGTTCTTGTATTTATCAAGCTCATCGTCCTACAGGGATGTCCTACTAAGGCTGTCATACCATAAAAACGTTTATAACACAGCTCACATTCTAATATATCTGCATTCATAAATTTATTAGTCATTTAGACTAAACGACGCCATATGCTTGTTATGTTCCTCTACCGTCTAAACAACCTATCAAAAAAGAATAGGTGGAAGAGAGCCAGAAGATCTTCCCAATGCAAAAAAAAAAAAAAAACAGAAATGGACTTCTTCTGGCTCACTACCGAAGAACAAAAAAACGCGCCCCATTAATATGTTTAAAAAAACGCCTTGTCCCTACCCCTTTTTCCCAAAAATTGGCATTGTTAAATATATATACATATATATAATCATCATTACAATGCTATTGTATTTTTATGACATGATCTGGGACTAATGACATCTATCTATAAGTCCAAGCATACAGTAAATTATTATAATATGAATATGTTTCTTGTTTTAATAACCACACATGATGCTATGCATGAGTCACCATTTATCAGGACAGGAATTGGGTTTACATAGAGAGAATAATGTGCAAAAAATAGATAAGGGGCGGGACCAAACCTATAGATAACATAATAAAGAAATGATGAAATATAAAGAATACGTTGATTGTTTTTGGTTGCCTTCTGTCCAGTGGCAAATATTTCACGCATGTTTAGGACAAATATAATAGAGATCAAAGGAGAAAGAAAAGAGTGAAATGGTAAAAACTAAAAGATTTAGAATTATAGAAACAATCTTTGATCTGAACCCCCTCCCCCTCCTCTCACACACACACCATAACCATTACTGCCAATACTCGCATATATACATCTCTATACAAATATCTAAATCTGAACCCCTCCCCCCCCCTAGACACCGAGGTTCTGGATCCGCCCTTGTTAAATGTCTCTTATTATATACATTTTGTACGGTTCTAGATAATAGCTAAACATACAATCCTACAAAAATATTGCATTTAAATGAAAAAATATACCATTTAAATGAAAAATTATACCATTTGAATAAAAAATATTGCATTTAAATGAAGAAATATACCATTTAAATAAAAAAAAAAAATGCATTTAAATGAAGAAATATACCAATTGAATAAAAAATATTGCATTTAAATGAAAAATATCAAATTTTTGCAACCAATACCATGCCATAGTTTTAAACACTTAAGTTATATATACTTTACCCAATTAAAGAAAAGAGATATAAATTTATAACTGGCCTTTAAAATTCATGATAGTAAAACAGCATTATAGCCGACAATAGTGCTAGTGTGCTTATAAACTCACCATAGATACATATAAGATCTGAAGTTCCATCGGGTGCACAATTAACACAATTTAAATATTGCTTTGAAATTTAATTGAATGAATAATTGTAAAATACAAATGGTAAAAGTGATTTATAACACATTGCTATTTCTCTTTGCCGTACAAATCATTTCAATGAAGTGCGCATGCCATCTCACATCATCTGTCAGTTCCGGGTGAAAGGCGGTAGCTAACATATTACCCTGTTGCACTGCAACGATAACTTCAGGCTGTTGACTACCTGATCTATCGAGTGTCGCTAAAACAGTTACTTCCGGACTGCAGATTTCCACAACTGCAGGTGCTCGGATAAAAACTCCATGATAAATGTCATCTGCATCGCAGTTTTTAAAAGCCTCAGAAACAAACAGTTTTTGCTTTAAATTTACTGGTGCTTCAAAGCTGTTGATCTGACGACCAAAGAAGTTTCTGGAAACGTCTATGTCCATTTCAGCTAGCTGTTGAAATGAAATAAAATAGGAGATTTAAAAGTATATTTGACAGTGTTATAGAAATTATTTTAGACCCTGTTTTGTCTGAAATATTATATATCTTTATGACTTTTAGATCTGGAGTATTTCAGTGGTGTCGTAAGCACTGTCTACCGGTCACTATGTGTATATTCTCTTATGGCTGTGGCCTTTTATCTATTTCTTGCATGAATAGATATTTTCTCGTATCACACTGCACGGAGTGTGATACGAAAAAGTGATACGAAAAGTGCTTTAATTTGATTGGTTTATCCAACATCATGAGACGATATTACAACATTTCCGTAGGCTATTCGTTAGGTCATTGGTGACTTTCAAAGGTTAAGACGATGTACATTTTGTCCATGGCAACGGACAAACATTGTAATTGAATTCTTCTATCATATATACAAAACACTCACAATTTTCACATGAATATCTTCTTTTTGTCAAATTTTATAACATTCTAAAACGTGCAAAAAGTTTTAAAATGTCTGATGTTAAAGTTTGACACTCGAACGGGACACATGATGTCATGCTGGTTGTGCAAAAGACTAGATCAACTATTCGCGGAATTTTTAAATTAACATAATATAAAAGTGTCGACCATAAGAGAAATAGGTTTAACAACTCGTGAGAATTGGATATCGCTTGATATCAACTCTCATTATTTATTTTTTTTAAATAGATGGCTCTTTTATTATTATATTGAAGTTAAATAACTCGATTTGATATCAAGCGATATCCAATTCTCACTCGTTATGAAACCTATAATTACAACAAAATTCTGAAAACAAAAAGAAACACGAAAAAGACGCTAAAAACACCGACACGGATTTTAAAGTTCCATGCGGAGACATTTTTATATATTCAAGAATTTTTTGACAAGACAAATCTATAAATGAGACATCGGACGGTTAATCTTGGTTATCAGTAGTTGAATTCATAAAACAAATCACTTCCAAAAGTATCATGAAATCCTTTCTTCAAAGGTCCTGTCTTTAAACAACCCTCGCTCTTGTGTCTTGTCAGATTCATAACATTTTTGTTGTACCGACTCTTAATCCCTTACTAAACTGTTCATGCCGCGGAAACCCCCCTCCTCTCACCTTGAATATTAAAATGGTCGTTCCCTTATCTTTAATCGCTAATCATCTTAAGCCAGTATATGTGACATCAGATTTTGGCAGACGACGCGAAATGTAATCTTTTAAATAAATATTTTAGTCTGATTTCTTCCCTAGAGGATAAAAGGTGTTCCTTTCCCTGAATATGACAAAGAAACAATATTTATTTAAATGATTTAATAATTGAAAAAGATGAAATAGTTGAAATGATCAAAATTTTACATTCTAAAAAGGCATCTGGTCCCGATGTCATAAGCCATAAAATGTTGAAAGTTTGTCCTGAAAAAGTAGCAATGCCTTAAAAAATAATATTTAATAAATGCCTGCAACAATGCAAATTTCCAAGCAGCTGGAATATTGCCAATGAGATTGTGTCTTAAAAAATGGTTGGTGGTTTTTATCAGCAAGCTGATAAATCGAGTGTATGGCTTATAATATAATGGTTTCCATACTCGCGTGCAAAATGTTGGGTCTGTGGTTTTTTCAGAAACAAATATTTCCTATTTAGAAAGATTATGAATATTAGCGTTTTGAATTCTTGAGGTGGTTTAATTTTTTTTTGTGAACCTGACAGAAAATATTCACTTATTCTGACAACATTGTTTCATTATAATTTAAGAGTTAGCACCAGGTTGGTGATATTTTATAGTGTAATATAAAGTAGCTTAACTTATCGTTATACCGAAGGTTGTCCTCCGATCTTCTGATTTTCTGTCTGCTTCGATAACAGTATCATTCCAGCACATGTCCCCCAGGTCACGTGATTTTTCGAATCAATCCACTTCCGCAATGGTTCGTCCATTTTATTACGTTTCAGAAATAAGCTAATGGTTGTACTTTCACCACCAGGAATTATAAGGCCGTCTATTTTGTCGGATATGTGGTCCGGATATCTTACACCAATAATTTCTAAGTCAGGGATATTAAAGCATTTTTGTGCTTTGCGCAGTGCCACGTTATGTTCATTGAATGCTCCTTGTACTTCTAAAATACCGATTGCTAATTTGTCTTCTTTGGGGGAGTTCGTTGGCATTGAAGATGGCATCCTATAATATCTATAAAACACAAGTAGTAATTTGTCATCTCGATGTGAACAGCGCTAATTAACTGTACTTTTTAGATGTTTAGATCTATAATTCCTGTTAAGATTTTACAACAGTTTTAGCTCCGTCTGATGTGTTTCAAAATCGGTTCATGAGAAATCATAAATTAAAAGGGTTCTTGTGTATAGACTAAGTGCTTTTGTTTCTTTCAGTTTAAAAGATCTTAAAGATGAGACAAAATTTATTGAACAAGGTAAAGTGAAGAGAAAAACGTAATATTTTTTTCATAAGATACCTCCCCCTTATTTATCAACTGTATTCGACGACAAATGATGAACGAAGTCTATTGATATGAATCTTATTTATTTTTATGCACATACTTAAAATATGAACCGCATTAAATCGTTCTCGAAATAGTACCTAAACAGGAATAAATATTTAAAAATCCTAATTAATTCCGTTTAGCAAAAATTGATCCAAATCTTATCTTTGTTTATTAGATTTTCTAAAATTTTCATTCATTTGTCCCCAGAAATTACAAAAAAAAATAGTTTAAAAAGGTTTCACGTTTAGAGAGGAGCCTTTCTCCCGTCCCTAACACTTTTGCAACCTTTATATTATTTTATATTTCGAAACGATGAAGTTGTATAAAGTTGTGAATTGGTCAACTGTTACAGTATGTCGTTATTGAAAGGCAAGAATACATTTTAAATGAGCAGTTTATCTGAGGTAGTTAATGTGTAAGAGATAAATTAGTCCTGGTAAAATGTGTCCGGGCGGATACGTATTACTAGTATAAAAAGGTCAGTGGTTACAGATTTTTCTAGTATTTTTATTCCGATGTCAGTAATTTATGTGCCCAGACTAATTTTCCTAGGAATTCATGTCCATGTCATTAATATTCCTAGGTAAAAACGTCCATGTCCTTTTTTTTACTAGGAAAAATTTGTAAGGAAAGAAATCATTTACATGTAAACAATGGAGTTTTTAATTGTTATGTTTTAATAATTTGTTTAACAGTTGTGCATAAATCTTTTGATAAAATTTATGTCCCCAGACTAATTTTCCTAGGAAATCATGTCTATGTCATAAATATTCCTAGGTAAAAACGTCCATGTCCTTTATTATAAGGAAAATAGTTCCAGACATATTTTACTAGCTTATGAACTTATTTTCCTAGGATAATTTATCCTGGGACTTACATTTCTAGGAAAATTATGGTCATGGACTTGATTACCTAGGAAACAAGTCCAGGGGACAAAATTTACTACCGGACCGAATTTACTGTTGATTATAGCACGGTTAGATAGAGATGTTGCCTATGCCATGTGCTAATTAATAAATAAACCCCATTTTTATTATTTTACATTCGTTCGTCAATAAATCATTTACTTGAAAAGAACATACTTACTTTTTATCTTGACAAACAAGGATAATAGATTAAAAGTATAAAACACAATTTCTTACCTTTTTCGTTTACATAAATTTGAGTTATATAAATCACTTGTATAACTTAACTATTGTTAACAGTAAACAACACGTTGCATAAGTCAATGGCTTAACGTTCTATAAACAAGATAATATAAGAGGCTCATTAAAGATATATCCGCAAACTAATTATTTATCTCTCGACAAATCCTTGTACTTATATGTCAGATAAATCTGTTAAATAATTGTCGTGTTTAATTACCCTCCATTGAACCCACAATCATATGTTAATGTCAGAACAAACTTATATTTAACCGGATGAGTTTAGTTCATACTTGATCTGATATAGGAGGTGTGTGGACAGAAAACAAATTATGTCGCAGAAACGTGGTAAGAAGTCTTTGTTAAATAATAATGTTTTATTTTTACACTTCTCTTAGTACTAAGTATAAAAATAGTTTCGATTTGATCACTATTGTCATCACTCTCCCGTCTCTCTCTCTCTTTCTCTCTTGTTTGGTTGTTGTTTTGTGTTTAATAGTTTTATTTTTTGGGAGGAGGGGGGGCTTTTTTCTAAACGAATAAATTATTAGGGGCGTTTCTAGGGTATTGGAAAGAGGGGGCGTAGAATAAAATCTTTTTTTTTTACCTTTTTTTGCTGAAAAACATAAAATAATTGTGAAATGCACTAATGTAACGGTTCCTGACTTGGAGCATGTATATTTTATAGTTAAAGGGTCAGGGTTTGACATTTTTTATGCCGAATTCTCTCCATTAATTGTCTATGGTATATTAAAATGATTGGATGCAGTAGACCAATAACGAGAAATTCCAAATTCTAGGGTATAAGGCGTTACCTAATATTTAAATAGTCCTAGGCCAGGATTTTATGAACGTGAGGCGAAATTACGGTTGCCCTGGTAGAGGGTCCATGGGGAAGCTCAGAAGCTCCTGGATTTCAACAATTTAGCATCAAATTATGAAGTAGCCAGACTGATAAATATCTCTCTATTTTAGATTAGTTCTGGTTTCGTTGAACGACATACATGATACAAGACAAACAAACACTGAAGTATAAAGTTCTTTCGTTCTAAATATTGTAGGCTTTAATGTGGAATACATGATTGAATATAAAAAAATGACGTCATTGTACTACAGTACTAAATTAAAGCAATCATGTCTAAACAGTCACTGTCTAGTTCCGATAGGTGGTATATGGTACATAAATAAATATGGTGCTTAAACTTCATGGCAAAATGTAGATCAATGTCACTTAGTTACTCACTAATGGATATTGAAACAATATGATACTACCAAAGGCTATCCAGATGGGAAGTAACAATGCTCTACCAAATATACATGTTACTAGTATAAATGTACCTTAACGCAAAACCTAAAATGAACACAGAAATATTGACGGACTCTCATTTTCAATGAATGGTTAGACTAGAGTGGATTCATTAGAACCATTTTCAGAGTATGTGTTTAAATAATGAATATGATAAATTGCCATATTCAATACAACATTAGCAGATTACGATAGTTTTTTTTTTGAAAAGGGGGGGGGGGGGGGTACGCCCATTACGCCCTCACCTGGACCCGCCCCTGATTATCTATTTACTTACCCATCATGGGCCTTTTATTTGGAATGAAAGTATCTTATGATGTTAAAAGTAACTTTCAAATCACATTCACAAATATATGGCCTTTATCTCTTATTCCACCCTTAAAGGGGGTGAGAGTGGAGGGTGGGGAGGGGGGGTCTAGGGTCCTTCCACCAGACTATAGTCCACAGTTGCATCATTTTCTAGAGAAAAAAAATCTGCTATATATGCGTCGCTACATTATTATGTGAATTATAAACAGCCCCCCTCGAAGTAAATATTTATTTATATTATTACAATGTAAACAAAAATATGTATTCTAGTCAACGGATTTAATTTGCCAATTCAGGCGTCACGTTGATTGCTCACACTAGACACAAAAACCCATGCTAGAGAGGGTGTTTGTTCCTGATGTTTGAATGCTGACACGCAGTCATGTCCGGTCTGATTTGGGACGTTAAATCCGATGTTTAGAATACAAGAAAAGTGCCATGTTCACTGCACGTTAAAGAAACATCCAATCAGTAGTCAGTGATTCTGTACTGAAATGATTTATAACATACACGTTTTTAAAAACATTCTCCGTGGATGAATTAAAAAAATATTAAGAAAATAAGATTCCAGCTCCCTCCGACAAATTAATTTTATGTCGATTTATTTATTGTTTTTATGTCTCTTTTGGTCTGATAGCTTTTCAAGTATGTATACATTCTAGTCTTTCAAATGTTAGGTTTCGGGCTTTCCTGATGAAGGTAAATCTAGAAAAGAGCTTCGAATGAGCTAAATTTATAAAGTGTTATCTTTTTTTTATTTTCCAACATCTCTTTTAGGTGCTCGTAAATGGTTGTTAGGCAACATTAATGTCCATTTCCAACATAATTATTTTGCAACAGTCTAAATGTCCCGCCCTTTCTCCCCACGTTCGACCAAATTTGCAGATATACCATTTATTTTTTTTTCTCGTCCTAAATATGCGTGAAATATTTGCCACTGGATGTTAAGTAAAAACTATAATAATGATAATCGAATACAAAATATATAAAGAGGCCTTATTCATCATTTATATGTTGATTAAACGATATTTTGATAGTTGGGTATTTATAATAATGTCATATGATGTTTTTGAAGTTCTCCGTTGCAGTTTAATACGATTGAGAAAATTATTTTTAAAAGTTATCAAGGCTCTCATGATTTATAAAAAATAAAGGACAATTGCACATGTTGACAAGTGTATATATGCAGCGTAAACAATTCCCCGGTGTGCCTTTTTTATGACAATTAATAGTAGTAACTCTTTGTTACATGTTTTTAACATTTAAATTTAACCATTACACGAGCTTTAACATGTATGCATTAGTGATAAATGACAATACATATTTCATAGGTTGGAGCTGACAGAACTATTTGTTTTTCTTCATTAAAATACATATATCTTATTAGTTTAACCATGAAATGTAGCAAAATTAATTTTGTTTTGTCGCATATATAATTATAAAGACATAATTTGTTGATTATCCCGAGACTAATACTATCGAAGACATGTATTTTGATATCCTAATTAAATTTGTGTTATCCAATGGAACGATCTTTACAAATATTGAGCTTGGTCTTCTTGAGATAAACAAAAGCACAGAAATGCGTTATAATTCGACTATCATCAGAATTCATTTGAATTAGATGTGCACGTTTCTTGTTTATATTTTTGTTTTTGTTTTTGTTTTTTTAAATTCTTGAACAGTTGAACGTTAAGACGATAGAAATATAATGTTCATTGAACTACTCATGTTTGTGCCTTCCGTGTCCTAGACTTAATCTGATATTCTTTTACACTGTATTTTCTTTTTTTCTTTCCGAACAGATATTTTAGACGTAATGAATTTGACGCTGAAGGATGGAGTAAAAGCTAACGGCCATACAGGTTAGTATAATGACGATTTCAAGATTTAACAAGTGTAAAGTGGATCTTTCTAATTATTAAATACATATCTGAGTTTACTTATCACTAGTCATCTTCTTCTTGGGATCTTCGATGTGTCACGGAGTAGGGCAATGGATGTATTATTGCTCACTTCAATAATCTGGTCGCTAATTCCTGAGGATCTGCAGAGTTCACCCCCGGTGTTTTGATGGGTAGCGTGTTGCTCAATCTTTTGTCTTGTATGAAGTGTTTTGATGGGGTGCGTGCTGTTCAATCTTTTGTTTTGTATGTAGTATTTTGATCGCGTGCGTGTTGCTCAATCTTTTGTCTTGTATGTAGTATTTTGATGGGATGCGTGTTGCTCAATCTTTTGTTTTGTATGAAGTGTTTTGATGGGGTTTGTGTTGTTCAATCTTTTGTCCTGTATGTAGTGTTTTAATAGGGTTCGTGTTGCTCAATCTTTTGTCCTATATGTAGTGTTTTGATGGGGTTCGTGTTGCTCATTCTTTTGTCTTTTATGTAGTGTTTTGATGTGGTCCGTGTTGCCCAATCTTTTGTTTTGAATGTAGTGTTTTGATGGGGTTCGTGTTGCCCAGTCTTTTGTCCTGTATGTAGTGTTTTAATGGGATTAGTATTGCTCAATCTTTTGTCTTGTATGTAGTGTTTTGATGGGGTTCGTGTTGCTCAATCTTTTGTCTTGTATGTAGTGTTTTGATAGGGTTCGTGTTGCTCAGTCTTTTGTCTTGTATGTAGTGTTTTGATGGGGTTCGTGTTGCCCAATATTTTGTCTTGTATGTAGTGTTTTGATGGGATTCGTGTTGCTCAATCTTTTGTCCTGTATGTAGTGTTTTGATGGGGTTCGTGTTGCTCAATCTTTTGTTTTGTATGTAGTGTTTTGATGGGGTTCATGTTGCTCAATCTTTTGTTTTGTATGTAGTGTTTTGATGGGGTTTGTGTTGCTCAATCTTTTGTTTTGTATGTAGTGTTTTGTGGATTTGCTCGTCTTTTCGTCGTTTTTCGTCTCTACCATGGCATTGTCAGTTTTTCATCGACTTACGAGTTTTGAATGCCCCTAGGTATCTTCCGTCTCTTTTTTATTGCATTTGTCTTCGTGTCTGAATTTATGCCACCGATCTTTTTATAATCAACATATTTTTGACGTTTGAAGTCGTTTGTTTGTTATGATCTGGTAGGCTAATTATTATTTCCTATCAGTATTAATTGAATCTTTAATAAAGCGTTAATTTTCAGTTTTATACCACAAACACAATCCGTGAGCACTAATATATAGATATTACAAGAGAGCTTTTATGCGTTGTCAACTACAACTGGCTAACACAGATATCTTCCTAACGGAATTATTGTTCCTATATCCTTGTGGGTCATCTGTTCCTGAAGGAATTATTGTTCCTATATCCTATTGGGTCATCTGTTCCTGAAGGAATTATTGTTCCTATATCCTAGTGGGTCATTTGTTCCTGAAGGTGGTTATTGAACAGATATATCATGTTATGGAGGGGTATTTGCGAAAAATACCAGTCAAGGGACTGTAAAATTTCCCGAGCCGCTAGAAATTTATTGCGAAAAATACCAGTCGAGAGAATGTTAAATTTCACGAGCCGTAAGGCGAGGGAAATTCATTCTCAAGACTGGTATTTTTTGCAAATACACCTCAAGAACATGCTATATCTGTTTAATTACACCGAATGTTAACGTTCAAAAACGCATTGATGATCGTGACGTTACAAGCGTCCAGTCGGATAGAGTATTTTTTGGCAAATACCATGGCAGAGAGGGTAAAAAAGGCATATCCGTTTTGCATATACCCCGGCGGCGTTAAAAAATGAACGATATTCTTTTGATAACAGTAAATTTGTGAAAAATACACTGGCTATCAACCAATCAAAACCCAGGATTCTTACATAAGGTGTAATTAAATGAAATAAACAACGGACTCGTTCTTTAATATGACATACCAAGGGGCACCAATAAGTCACCATTTAAATTGGTATCTTAAATGATTATACAATTTTGAAATGTTTGATTGACATTAGATCGTTTGGAAGTTAATCATTTGCCACTGGATGTTACAAACAGTCAGTTGTATTTAGCTCGTAGATTAGACAAAACTTTTAGCACAATTTTTTAATATAACGGGATTGAATTCGGATTGGTTGAGGTAAATTCAGAAGATTTACAAAGGTATGAGTTCTCTCCTGTAAGACGATTTAGTTTATTCAACCACTTTTTAACCAGTTATTTCCATGTTTCAGTTTCTATTTTGAAATTATTACATATAAGCTTTATTTGTCAGAATTTTACAAAAGGGTAATATTCATCGTATTTATACCTCCTTTTTGTAGCTTATTTATGTCTAAGGACTAACAATGACTCAAATCAATTTTTACCATAATTTTTCAAAAATACACCAATTTCGAGTTCCCGAATTTTGACTTCATTTCACTCTATGTTCTCAAGAAAAATTCATATACATACATTTGTAATTATACATAAACCAAATTGATGCTACTGAATATACAATGCACGTTATATATTGTCTATAACATTTAAAAATATTTGCATTTTAGGAACCTTTAAAGTCAAAGCAGGCCTGGCTCAAATGACAAAAGGTGGGATAATCATGGATGTCACAACACCAGAGGAAGCAAGGATTGCAGAAGAAGCCGGAGCATGCGCTGTCATGGCATTAGAGAGAGTTCCTGCAGATATACGGCGAGAAGGCGGAGTTGCGAGAATGACGGACCCAAAGGTAATATAATATATAATAACTTTGATTTGTTGTCCGTACACTTTCTACGATGAGCACAAATATGATATTGCAATACAAAACACTTATCAGTGTAAGTATTTTCAAAAACAAATTAAACACTCCTTGAAATTTGACAGCACTTACATATATTTTACAAAACTGCATATCCTACTAGTAGCATTGCGTCATTCCGTAGCAACGATATGCTTTAACTTGTACATTCCTGGAAACGTAATTTAGCGTAAGTTTCTTTTCAGTATAAGATACATTTCATTGTCTTGAAAGCGTTATATACGGTCTAGCTTAAAACCCTTGAGGTTGTGCTGAGTGAGATAGAAAGTTGTTTGATTATCATGTCAGACCCCCTCTTTCTATTAACAAAATGATAGGGTGGTTATAATAAAGGATTTGACTTATAGATGTCATATCAGAAAGTGTTTTGATTATTTATTTATATGGTTTGCTGGCCCATTGACTATAACTCAACATCTTCCATTGCTGGTCTTCACCTCGACGATGCGTTATAATGTCTTTATTTTTAGTACACTGATTTTGTCGATAACCGCTACATGAATGTATTTGAAGGAACATAGTATGTGTGTGAAGGGAGAGAAGTTAATGAAAACAACTATGATGGTTGTCAACAGATTCTACAGATCGTTTTGTCAATGTTGTCTTAACTTTTGGTCGCTACATCCTATCTTAAACATTCTGTTATTTTTTTCAGAAAATCAAAGGAATAATGGCAGCTGTAACGATACCAGTAATGGCCAAGTGTAGAATAGGACATTTTGCTGAAGGACAGATCTTAGAGGCTTTAGGTGTTGATATGATTGATGAGTCAGAAGGTATTGTTTTTAATGGCAAAATTGTGATTGACCCCCTAGGTAGAATTTAAGACCACTTGCATTGGTCAACCAAAAAAATAACCTACGAAAAAAGAATTTTCATGCAAACAAAATGGTTCTGTAAATGTCCGTATATATCTTGATATGCAAATGAATTTTTTAGAGCTTACATATATAATATAAAAAAAAAATAATAGTGTAAATGCTTATGAAACTACAAACCTTAAAAAACCTAATGCATATTTTACCAATAATAACTGGGTTGGGATTCATGGTTTACCATAAAAACAAATAGTCAGACGGCTTCATAAAACTGTCATAATTTTTTTCAGTTTTGACACCAGCCGACGAGGAAAATCACGTGAACAAACACGATTTTAAAGTGCCATTCGTTTGTGGGGCCAGAGATTTAGGCGAAGCTTTAAGAAGAATATCGGAAGGTGCAGCAATGATCCGAACGAAAGGTGAAGCTGGTACTGGAGACGTTTCTGAAGCAGTGAGGCACGCAAGGACAATTCGAAAACAAATAAAAATTGCCCAGGCAATGGACTCAACAGAACTATACACCTATGCCAAAGAACTCCGCGTCCCAGTTGATTTATTACAAAAGACATCTGAGCTTGGACGATTGCCAGTTGTTAACTTTGCTGCTGGTGGATTAGGTATGTATTACTGGAAGTGTCATTATCAATAGTTTAAAAAAGCGTAAGATATTAAGGGGACATTCAAAACTCAAAAATCGAGAGAAACTGACAGTGCCATGGAAAAAAAAAAATCAAAAGACGACGAAATGTCGAACTATTCAGAAAACACTGCATAGAAAACTAAAACCTGAGCAACACGAACCGCACAGAAAAGGGAGGATGAGACTGGTATTCATCAAAACTTCTTAAAGTTACTGGTAATTACCAAAAAATACCGCGAGACTACTTCAATCACATTCAAAGGCAGATGTATAAAAATAGAAAAAAAAAAAATTCATATATTAATTTATAAACTGATTTTTACCTGCATTACAAACGGAGAATGCATGCAGGTCTGATAACCGCTCTACCCTGAAGACTTTGTGTAGAAAATTTCGTCAAACATTTCTTAACTCCTATGAAAGGAAATGATTTTGTATTCGGGATACAACTTGATAATGTTGAGTTGTAGAGTGTAATCAATTTTAAGTTTCTAGTTTTCATTTCTTGCTGGTGAATCTCGCGTATTTATCACTTAAAAAAAGCCTAAATAGAGAGGAATCGAAAATAAATACTTTATATGTAATCTACTTTATTGATACTCCAAACCAAGTATCGAATTACGATTTAATATCTGTATTGTTCTTTGCCATCCTCTTAAGTTGTTTCATTTATAATTATTGGTAAGAGGACATTTAACTTACAATGTAATATTGTTTTAAAATAAGGAGGTATGGTATGATTGTCAATGAGACAACCATATATCATCAGAGACCATAGGATGAAGATGTTAACAACTATTGGGCACTATACGACATTCAACAATGAGCAAACCCCATAGTGATACCATATAATGAGCTATAATTTACACCGGCATGACAAGATGTGAAACGTGAAACAACCAATTGTAAGATTTTGTTAAAATATATTTTACGGAAAGGTAAACGTCATGTTTTTTTTTTTATTTTTCAGCAACTCCCGCTGATGTCTCTTTACTGATGCAATTAGGAGTAGATGGTGTATTTGTTGGATCTGGTATTTTCAAAAGTTCTAATCCTCCAGAGCGAGCAGTTGCCATGGCACAAGCCGTTACTCATTACAAAGACCCTAAAATATTATCAGAGCTAAGTTCCGACCTGGGTTCCGCCATGTTTGGTGTACCGGTAAACCAAAGAAGCAAATTTTTGTCTTACTCAAAGCAGAACAGTGACACAAACAATATTTGGGATGCTACTTTAGGTGATCCTGCCAAATTTCCTGTAAATAAGGCCCAATGATAAAGTTGTCGGAAATTGTTCAGTTTACATTTTAACTAATCATTGCATATGCATTAAAATCATGTTAAAAATATAGGCTTTGTTATTTATACATCGAATGCATGTGCGTACTCGAGTTCTTTTTGTTTTTGTTTGATTGTCTTTTTTCTCGAATGATCAGTATTTTATGGTGTCGTCTAGTGTACAGTTTGATATTTTGTTTTGTAACTCCTGATATTATGTTGCCCGAAAACATTATGGAGCATATAGTAATCGCTTTGTCTGTCCGTCCGTCTGTCAGTGTGTCCGTTACACGTAGTTTCCGGTGTTAACTCAAGGCATCCTTGTTTGATTAAAATGAAAATTTAGTTATACAAAGAAAACTAGAGACGGGAAAGAACCCGATTGATTTGGAGGTCAATTGGTCGAAGGTCAGGGTCACAAACTAAAAATAGAAAAACACTGATAAATGGTTTCCGGTTGGTAATTTGAGATTGATATATATGAAACGTATATAAATGGAATATAGAGTAAATTGGAAGAAACCTATTGATTTCGGGTTCGATAGATCAAAAGTCGAGGTCACTGTTAATATAAATACAATAAAATGGAAAAATGGTTTCCAGATAGTAAATTGAGTTTCATTTACTTGATTGGATTGACACTGATTCAGAAGGACGATATAGGGTAAGGAAAAGGTCTACTGATTTTGGGTCAAGGTCACTTATTAAAACATTTGATTAGTTTCGGATTGGTATTCCACTAGTAATTGTAAAACTTACATATATACATTATTGGTGTTTTGTACACTTTTTCAAGCATTAAAAGACCAACCTTCAAATTTAGCATGTACCGGTTATACAGTATTTTAAAATATAAATAAGAAGATGTTGTATGAGTGCCAATGAGACAACTCTCCATCCAAGTCACGATGTATAAAAAGTTAACAATTATAGGTCAAAGTACGGCCTTTATATGATCTTATAAATGATCGGGTTATTTTCATCACCTCTTTTTTAAGGCGATAATAAGACCGGGTTCAAGCTAAAACATACATAAAGCATCTGTAAGTTGACGGCGATTAAACTATCACAATCAACGGAATCCATCGATGCCATATCTTGTGTATATATGTACACGACAGCGAAACACTAAAAACGATGACTAGACATCTAGAGGTTAATATAGTTTACGTTGTCCAACGATATCGATGTATTTATACCATATTGATTGTAGTCTAAGCAGATTTTGTCACGAAACCGTCAAGTTTTCTCGTATTTTACATTTATAATAATATAGGTAAAGCCGATCTAAGACGTATAATCACTTCCTTAACATCTCCTTGTATGAGGATAAAAAATTGCAATAAATATATTTTTATGTTAATGTCAATATAGTTACGATTATACTTTAGTATATGGTTTAAAGGAAATAAGATGCGGTATGATGCCAACTCTCTTCTCCAAATTGATTACTTGAACTTGCGAATTACATTAGGTTTATTTTATTTAAGAATTGAATGCTTCATTTTGTAAATTCATTGGGGTGTGAAAGCGTTGACCGAAGTACATTTTGTATGAAGCGCGGAAGCGCTTTATTCTAAAAATGTAAGCACGGTCAACGTTTTTACAACCCTATGAAATTACTAAAAGAAGCATTCAATTCTTAAAGAAAATAAACCTAATGTAATTGGCAATTTCAAGTAATCAATGTGGAGAAAAGGGGGGCGGGAGGTGGGAGAAGGGTACCCCTGTCCACCCCCTCATAACTGCATCGAACCATTAAGACATAAAGATATGCAAACAAAAAAGTATTAACTAGAAAAAAGCACCTCGGACCCTGTCTGAATATTTTAACACTGTCTTGCAAGAAAGGTTATATGAATTTAGTTATCTATAGTTGCTAACCTTCACGTCGTTTGGTCTCTGGTTGGTACACAGTCTACTTGGAATGTTTAGTACAATACATAACCTTTTCTCCGACAACACATGTTTTTACTATTGTGTTCGTCCTTTCTATTCCACTGATTCGAATTAATACTTCAAATACAAGTTCAAATAAATATTATAAAAAAAGAGGAGTTGGTAGAAATGCAAAAAGTAAAATAACAAAATACCGAATTCCAAGGAAAATTCAAAACGGAAAGTTCGTTATCAAATGGCAAAATCAAAAGCTCAAACACATCAAATGAATGAAAAACAACTGTCAGATTCCTGACTTGGTACAGGCATTTCCTTATGTAGAAATTGGTGGATTAAACCTGGTTTTATAGCTAGCTAAACCTCTCACTTGTATGACAGTCGCATAAATGTGTGAACAAAACAAACAAACATGTCAAAAATAGGTACAGCAGCCAACATTGTGTTATAATCTTAATCACTATAAAAAAAAACAAGACAAATATGTCAACAAAGAAAAACAAAATGACATATAGACAAAGCACATAAGTAAAAATGAAAGACAAGACTACAAAAATTGACCATACCACAATAACACAATGGAGGGATGTATAAGTACCGAGCCACGCCAAAAAGGATATAACCAAAAATGGACTAAACAGTAAAGGTTAATGATTTACAAAGACAAATAAAAGAACACTATAACATGTAATTAAGATGATAAACAACATCAGTACATAGAATCTATACTTCAAGACCATCATGTATTATTTTTGAAGTTGGTACGGAATATTTATCAACAAGGTCTTGGTATCTTCCGATGATTTTTTCAGAAAAAGGACGAGACGTTCTTTGACATAAGCCTGGTTCATCAACTTTCTGCTCAGACACTGGTGACGTTTTATAAAGTCTGAGTAGCAGCTACAAGCACTTTAATATAGAATGAGTTGGGAAATGTATATCCCATATGCAGGTGAAGTTGGTATATTGCTACTAAGGCGGGGGAGATTGATAATTTTTAAGCTAAAATCATCTCGTTTGTCATAGATTATGGTACTGAGATGACCGCTTATGTCAAATTCGAGGTATAAGTCTAAAAATGATGCGGATGAAGCCGTGTCTGTTGTTTCTAGTTCTGGAGGATATATTAATGGAACCCAATCAGAAAAGTTTGGATTATTAATGGAAAGAACATCATCAATATATCTGAATGTGGAATGGGACAAGTACATGTACCCACGAAAGACCAAATGTCGTAGTTATAAGCAGCTATAAGTCACCGTACGACCCTCAACGATGAGCTAAACCCATACCGTATAGTAAGCAATAATGACATCGATATGAAAAAATGGAAAACAGTTCATACGAGGAAATCAACGAGCTGTTTTATGTACAAAACAATAACGGAAAAACAAATATGATATAAAAGCAACAAATAAAAACCACTGAATAACAGGCTGCTGACTTGGGACAGGCACATACAGAATGTGGCGGAATTTACCATGATTGTGAGCGCTCAGTCCTACTCCCATCTGTGACAGTGATGTAAAAGCAAAACATAAGAACAAAATGTCAAAATCAGTTTAAAATATAGATGAGACCGTTGGTTTTCCCATTTGAATGGTTTTACACTAGTAATTTTTGGGGCCCTTTATAGCTTACTGTTCGGTGTGAGCCAAGGCTTCGTGTTGAAGACCGTTCTATGACCTATAATGGTTTACTTTTATAAATTTTGACTTGTATGGAGAGTTGTCTCATTGGCACTCATACCACATCTTCTTATATCTATTGCCTCAACAGATCGATACAAAGCACAAAAACAGCAAACAAAAAGACTTAAGACGCAAAGTGCCGATCTAAGGATACTTGCAGTAACTGAAAACTAGTATCAAGTCGATTAGAACTAATAAATAAATCATGTTTCCCAGATCATATAAAAATAAGAAGATGTGGTATGATTGCCAATGAGACAACTCTCCACAAAAGACCAAATGACACAGAAATTAACAACTATTGGTCACCGTACGGCCTTCAACAATGAGTAAAACCCATACCGCATAGTCAGTTTTAAAAGGCCCCGAAATGACAAATGTAAAACAATTCAAACGAAAAAACTAACGGCCTGATTTACGTACAAAATATTGAACGAAAAAAAAATATGATATACAGCAACAAACGACATGCACTGACAGACTCCTCACTTGGGACAGACACATACAGAACGTGGCGGGGTTAAACTAGTTTGTTGGTGCCAACCCTCCCCTAACATGGGACAATGGTGCAACGGCACAACACAAGAACAAACTATACAAAACAAAAAAGTATCCGGAGCAAAACTATTTTTCGTATTTTACTGATAAATGGACTTTGTCTTTTTACAATTAACATTCAGATTTTTTCTGAGGTTAAAGTTTTTCAGTCATCAATATCTTTGCCAAACCTACATGGAATTTTATGGAATTTGGACAGAAGCTTGTTTATGACCAAAAGACAGTATCCAGAGCAAAATATTGAAAATATTTATTTTCATTTTTCCGTATTTTACTGATTAATAGACTTTTTTTTGCAGTTAACAAGTAGATAGTCTTGGTGTAAAGTTTGTTTCACATCAATAACTTTGTCAAACCTTCATAGAGTTTTATGAAACTTTGGCAGAAGCTTTTTATTGATTAAGAGAATGTCTGAATCAAACCTTTCAATTTTTTTTTCATTTTTTAATATTTTTCTGATAGATGGACTTTTTTTACAGTTGACATTTACAGACAGACTGGGATTAAATTTTTTTGACATGATAAATTTGTAAACCTTCATGAATTGTTATGAAACTTGGACAGAAGCTAATCAGTAGCATCTAAAGAAATGTTTGACTTATTTTTTAATTCTGTATTTTACTGATAAATGGACTCACTTTTTATGTCATCATTATACTTTTACACTGACAGCAGCAATCGCAGGCGAGACACATGGTTGCTCGAAACCCCTTACATTTTTTTTATTTATAAGTTAGATAAGAATGCATTTGATGAATTTAATTATAAATTTTATTTAGATGTTCAAATATACGTCAATTATGTAGCAATTAAACGACAAAAATAACCAAAGGACATCTAGAGGGCAGTCTTCAACAAACGACAGGTGTATATTCATTATACCAAGCTTATAATAGTCTTTTCAATAAACCAAGCTATAAATCGTCTATTCATTAAACCAAGCTATTAAAAGGGCATTAGCTACGAAAAATAAAAAAAAAAAAAAAAAATTAAAATATGATTTTTTTTTGTTCAAACATTAATGAAATTGAAATAGTGAAAAAGCAATTCGCTTTTAGCAGCCAGTTTGGTTTTATTTTGTCAAAATAAGCTAAGAAACATCGCTGATGAATTATTCACTTGCAAGTGGATAATTCGGCCTCATTGAATCCGTATTCATGTGTCCATCATTTTAACCCCTTAACTAGAGAAGGGCTACGCATAAACTATGTGTGTTCAGCTATTAAAAAGAAAAGAATGTCAATATTGATATTGAAACAAGGATAAACCTTTTGGTTGATCACAAAAACTCATTCTTATACGGGTAACAATGATGATTAACATAATATGTTTAACCTATAATATGAAATTAAACAGATCTAGAAAAATCCAAGTGTTCGTGTTTGCTATCTTTTAATATCTTTATTTATGTTAATATAGGGTTATATGACCGTCGATAGTCTTCGGAGGTCATATCGATCGTTTATTAGATGACCTGTAGACTAAAAAACATACGACATGTATCAAGTCCATGCATCGTAAATTGTTTATTTTAGACTTTTTATAATTTGGATATACGTTTTAGTATGTTATAGATCAAATATGAGAATTTGAGTCAAATCGATGAATATAAATTTGACAGCTAATGCCCTTTTAATAGTCTATTCATTAAACCAAATTATAAGGCATCTATCGATTAAACCAAACTATAAATCGTCTATTCATTAAAACCAGTCGCAAATCGTCCATAGCCTTTCAGAAGTCGTAAATAAATTAAACGGAAAATATCACATAAAAAATTATAAACATGTTCTATAACACCAATAATATGAATATATTGATAAATAGTTACCCTTTGATTGAAGTAAAAAGTGCTTTATACTAAATTAGTACTGTATAGTGAACATTAAATATTATAATATTTGTATAAGTCAAAGTACTAACCGCATTATGCTTATTTGCATGCGACATATTGAGCAATTGTTAAATCGTCTCGTTACGAGTATTGCAATGCGATAGCTTTCATTGGTAGAGGAATTGTTAAATCGTCTCGTAACGAGTAGTGCACTGCTATAGCTTCCATCGGTAGAAGAATAGGTACGTAAAATAACTCTGTTTTAAATCAAATGTCTGTCACGCTAAGAATAATTTGATATGCTGTGAATACATGACTAAAAGTTGGCTCTTTTTTCTCACAAGGTCATATCAGGAACAAATGGAACTATTATGAAGGATAATTGAAGTGCTTCTTAGATCTAATTTTCAATGTATGATAGTTTGCTTTAAATTTGTGTCATTTGATTTTTGAAGATATAAATATCCCTGCTAGCTTAGTAATGATATAAATTTACAACGGAGATATTATCCACTATGGTATTAAAGTCTTCAAAAACAAATGATTAAACTCAGATTTTTGAAATATGATCTTGGTTTTGTAGTTTCTCTTTGTCTTATACAGTAAACGAACTCTGACAATTGATTTCAATTGTTTTGCTCGAATAATTGTAAAGTTTGGTCAAATAGTGCCCGGTGAACTCTTTCACAATTCTGTACATTCAGATAAAATGTGCCCCTCTTACCAGTCTTTTAACTCTGCTACTATAATTTAGTGCATATGCTCTTCAACGTCGTATTTTATTTGGCCTTTAACTTTTTGTATTTGGAGTCACTGATGAGTATTTTGTAGACGAAACGAGCGTCAGGCGTACAAAATTATTAGCCTAGTTTCTTTGATGAGCTTTGTTTATTCATAAACTCGTTTTTCGATCAAATAGCTCGAATCTGCATTTTAAGTGTTATAGCATTTCCCTTGTACTAAGTAAGGCTACACATAGAGGAACACAAGGATGATATACTACACAAGTGTCGCAGGCTATTGTGACATGGAATAACGTGTCTTATTTTAACCTATTCTGTTAAATTTATTTCCAAAATATTAATTCATTTTTATCGTTTGAATGCATGAATGTAAATTAGAGGTACAATAAAATATTTTTAAAAGCACCTGGCTAGCCTATTGTGTAGGTGAAAAAAAGCCGAATTTGAAGTTTTTCCTGCAAGTTTGAACACCTCTACGATGCCTCCCCGCAACAGCAAATGGTAACTAGGTTCTAGAATCCTAGGCAAAACTGAAGAAGATCTAGCAAGGACTCTGGCCATCAGACCTGGGGTAATCGTAATTTATAATTGTAATGCATTGTAATATTACATTTTTTTATGTAATGCAAAGTAATTTGTAATGCACATTTTCTACATTACAATTACATGTAATGTAATGATTACTTTAGTTAAAAATCAATGTAATGCCTCCATTACTGTACATTACTTTTCATTACAAATTGGTAAAATACATAAAATTGAAGAATATAGTAAAATAAAAATAAAATATTAACAAAAACAAAAGAAAATATTGAATAACATTATTGTCACAGTTAGTAACTGTATTAAATCATTATAGATAGTTTGCCCTTAAAAAAACTATATAGATGAATGGACAAAATATGAAGATGAAATTTACATAATTCTATACACACCTTACATGTATTTCAATGAAAGATTGAATATGTCAATCAACATTTTTACACCAAACTGTGGTTGTTATTTTACCTAATTAATATCAAAATGTTTTTATTGCAATCAAATCTTCTCAATTTATGTTTGTCCTCACAGAGCCCTTAGGCATTTAACAAGATAATCCTTTAAATAATTGCTCATTTATTATATCCCTTTGAAATCCCTTTATGATGTCTTAATGATTAAGTGATCAATGTTAGAAACAAAATTATATGATATTTTATTTATTTTTCAAGTATTTGAAGTCTATGTCACTAACACTGTATATGTATGTACATAGACCCTGGTAATATTAATCAGTTTCTTATAAAAATTTGTTTTTAAATGTTATTGAAAAAGTAATGTGTAATGTAAATGCATTACACAGGCAAAGTATTTGTAATGTAATGCATTACATGTGAGAAAAAATGTAATTGTAATTGTAATTGTAATGAAAAAAATCACAAAGTAATTGTAATGTAATGCATTACATTGCAATGTAATGGCCCCAGGCCTGCTGGCTATGGAGATAAGGTATTTAGACGCGTTGGGGTGTGTACATGGCATAACACTCATCAAACTTGCCCCGGCTATGGATTAATAGCCGACCGGACGCAGGTCATCAGCCTTGGGTCAATGATTCATCTAGGAGAAGAAAACTATTATATAGATTCAGGTAGATTTTGACTCGGCAACCGATCTAATTTGAAAGGAAAGAAACATTTAGTGAAAACTATTTGGCTCTCAAAGTTGTGGATGAAGCGACAGACAACAACACATACTCGTAAAAACCCAAAATATTACAAAATATTATATACTCCGGAGTCAAAAGTCGGTAATATTGGAATTTTTAATATCTGCTACTCTGTAGCAGAAATTGGGATATCTAGATTTGTGCTAGGATAATCCTTCTAGTAGATTACTTAAATAGACACAATGATAACAATCTTTTGACGGCTCGGTATTATTGTCATGAAATTAAATAACTTCAGTTGATATCAAGCGATATCCAATTCTCAGTCGTTATGAAACCTATGAATACAGGAAACGATGAAAAGGTTAGCCTTTATTTTTCAGGTCAGAGATGAGGTTGTTACTGATTTCAGCCTACTTGGGATTTTTTATATGTTATGCTCAAAACATTGACGATATTATCAAAGGAGCAGTTGATGCTGCAATAAAAGACACTCCGAAAACAAGTACACAGCAAATAAATACCAGTAAGTATGGAACACATTTGTCTGTAACCAAATAAGCTGTTTTGAAAAAGCGGAGACCATCGGCTAGCTTATTTGTTCCCTGTTGTATTGAAGCTCAGTTTTTCTTTTTCGAACTGGAGTCCAGATAACTCGAGATGAGTTAGAGTTTATGTAATCTTTTCGTGTTTCTTTTAAAAGAGTTGGTTCTGCTTATTCATAAAAAAGAATGGCCAACGTAAATACAAGTATCTTGTCTTAGTGAGGGATAAATGCTACTTTGAAAAAATCACTCTGATTCAAACAAAAAATTCTCTTAAACTGTTCACTCGTGTTGATATGCCTTTTGATTGAGTTAAGCCATTTCAATTGATATTTTATAGTGTGTCTATCTATGTTGATATGTTACGCTATTGTTTCAGATAAGGGTGAAGGTTTGGTACCATTAAAACGTTTCAACCCGCTGCAATTGTTTGCACCTGTCCTAAGTCAGGAATCTGATGTTCAGTAGTTGTCGTTTGTTGATGTGGTTCATAAGTGTTTCTCGTTTCTCGTTTTTTATATAGATTAGACCGTTGGTTTTCCCGTTTGAATGGTTTTACACTAGTAATTTTTTGGGGCCCTTTATAGCTTGCTGTTCGGTGTGAGCCAAGGCTCCGTATTAAAGACCGTACTTTGACCTATAATGGTTTACTTTTGAAAAATTTGACTTGGATGGAGAGTTGTCTCATTGGCACTCATACCACATCTTCTTATATCTATTATCAAGATGATTGATTTCCTGATTGACAGCATATTTGTTACGTTTGGAGGACATGTTTGTAAACAAACAATTGGCATTCCCATGGGAACCAACTGTGTCCATCTTCTTGTCGTCTTGTTCCTTTATTCATATGAGGCTGACTTCATACAGGAAATTCTTAGGAAGAGAGAAAAAAAGTTAGCAGTATCCTTCAACTTTACTTTTCGCTATATAATAGATGATGTTCTCTCACTAAAATTTCAAAATTTGGTGACTATGTTGAACACATCTATCCCATCGAACGTGAGATAAAGGATACAACAGAAACAGATAAGTCTGCCTCATATCAATTGAAAATGAGATTTGGTTGAATACAAAACTTTACGACAAAAGAGATGATTTCAGCTTCCCAATTGTGAACTTTCCATTTCTATGTAGCAACATTCTAGCAGCGCCTGCACACGGAATATATATCTCCCAGTTGACACGATATTCCAGGGCTTGTATTTCCTATCATGATTTCCTTGATAGAGGGTTGCTGCTCACAAGAAAGCTAATAAACCAAGAGTTCCAAGTGGTGAAGTTGAAATCATCCCTTCGTATATTTTACGGACGCCATCACGAGTTGGTTGACCATTATGGAATATCCGTTTAACAGGTGATAGCGGATATGTTCCTAATGTCGTTACTACAATCCCCTTTTCACGAATGTGACCTACCGAATTAGACTTATGACCGGGTTTATACTAACATGTGGAACACGACGGATGCAACATGTGCAGCAGGATCTGCTTACCCTTCCGGAGCACCTGAGATCACCCCCAGTTTTTGGTTGGGTTCGTGTTGCTGAGTCTTTAGTTTTCAATGTTGTGTTTTGTGTACTATTGTTTGTCTGTTTGTCTTTTTCTTTTTTAGCCATGTCTATGTCAGTTTATTTTCGACTTATGAATTTGAATGCCCCTCTGGTATCTTTCGCCTCTCTTTTGGTCATATATTTTTTTATCCTATATTGATGCCTACCGATGCTCTTTTCAACTATAAAAGTCCCCGCCATAAAAAATGTGAAACTAACGAATGATTGATTTATGACTAATCAATAGACTAAATACAAATATGACAGATAGCAACCGATGACAACTACTAAATAATAATCTCCTGACCTGACTGTTGACAGGCACTTAAAAAAAATATGGCGGGATTTAACATGATTGTGAGAGGTTAATCCTCCCTTAACCTGAAAATCTGTTCGAAATTGCTTAACTAAACAAATTAATACGAAGAAAAAAGAAACAAAACAAACTAAATAATAGTTTAATAGTGAAAAGGAATTTAGCAAATTACAACTGCAAGTAGCAGTCATTATTGGTAGACCTGTATCTCTAGAGTATGCAAAGTTATAAACTAAGATTTTGATCGCGACCTACTACATGTAGTAGTAGTAATCAATTAGTACCTTACGATACTCACACTTAAGACTTGATAGAATTAGTAAACATACAACGAAAAACTATGATTGCTAGATAGAGATTTTATCCTTGTTTGCTGCACACATTATCAATGATGAATCCCAACTGACACTAAAAATGATAACTGACACCTTTTGTAAATATACATCTGATATAAAATATTTTGTTAACTTTATTTTGACGTTGCTTTCAATGGGCCTATTAGTAGTGGGAGACAGTCGTACAAGGCACCAATAACTAAAATAGTAACTCAAATCAAGAGCAAAACGGACACATTTTTTTTGCACACAATCGATGATGTACCAAATTTGTTGCAGGCGGACGGCGTCGAACAACCTGACTACAATAACCTTTTGTGAACTCAGACACGATACCTGAAGTGACAATTTCTTTTCGAGATTTGTATATGTTTAAACATCAATGAGACGACACAAATACATAAAAGACATATATCTGTATGGCCTGATTTTAGTGTCAGATTCCATATATCACTGTTTTAAAATCGCAATGAAACAATCTCTGTGTCCTATTAGAGATCCGTTTGTACGTTTGTTCTTTGAAATTAAAAACAGCATTCTGCCAAATACGTACCTGTATTGAATTTTATAAGAAGCTGTAAGAATTTGAAAAGACTAAAATACATCCTGAATTTCATGTATAGAATGATATCAAACATGCGTCAGTGAACAAAATGAAAAAAGTAAAACAAAACAAACACATAGAAGAAGGATCAGTAAATATATATCCGCTTTATTTCATATTGCAGACTTCAAACAGCTTTTGGGGAATTCTGGACCTGGACAGCAAAGAGCACCAGGAGGAACACCAGGAACACCAGGAATTGCAGCACAGTCACCACAAGTATTGCAGACGGCATCTGGAGTTCCACGAAGAGGGTCCACGCGACGTGCCAACTTGTTCGGAAGACGCAGACCAGTAAGACAGAAAGGCCTGTCCTCGACAAGAGCTGCTACTCTAATTGAGAAAACAGCTGCAAATGTACAAAACATGTAATTATTAACACAAAAAAGTCATTATAAAGTGGTAAATATGTACATCTTAGATGACTATTCTACGTTTTTTTCCACAAATGCGTACATGTTAAAGTTTCAGCTAACACAACCAGCCCTTTTTTTCTTCTTTAGGTTTGGTTTGTTATAGCTATTTTGTTTTAATTTGCTGTCAAAGTCAGAATGTTGGGACTGTAAAACATTGTTGAAATTACCGAAAAACAATGTTTTTCCTACCTATTTACTAGAATATACTTTTCAGAGCATTATAGCAAAATAGAACCATTTTAGCTTGACATCTCTGGATGTCATTTATATTAAACATAGTAATTTATTCTTGAAGAATATTAGTTATATTGGTGTAATAAGGGGTGTACAGATTGAATTTTACACCGGTGTTGAAAATTCATACACCCTGAGGTACATTTTAAACACCAGTGTAAAATTCCGTACACCCCTGATCGAACCAAGATAACGAAAGCGTTCCTTTACTCATTTTTATACCGGGGTGTAATATTGAAAAATTATTATGAGGAACTCCTACTACACATATTTTCAACAGCAATAATGGTGCGTTTTGTCAAATATTACTTTTTTTTTTTAATTTGAAAAAAAAACTTTTTTTTTTTGAATTTTGGAGAAACAAATCTGTGGAAAATGTTTTTTTTTAGAATTTTGGATTACTTTTTTTTTTTTTTTCTTTTTGAAAATTCGGACATTTATTCCCCCGGGTGAACTGGGATGTAGTGGTATTCACCACCGAGGTAACCAATCAGATCGCAAGTTTCTTGCTTTATTAGAATTAACATGATTTATTTACTAGTTGTAATTGGCTTTGCACTACATATATGCAATTCATTAACTGCGAGTACTCTTATATCGATGCTTTGTGTCTATTATATTTCTGTTAGTTGGGATTTATGAGCTTTGTACCGTCTATTGAGTTAAGCCATTTGCAACTGATTTTTATATTTTGTTTATATGTTGTGATGTTACATCACTGTATCACGTTAGGGGAGGATTGAGAGCTCACACACATGTTGAACCCCGCCACAGTCTTTATGTGTCTGTTCCAAGTTAAAAGCCTGTAAATAAATAGTTCATGCTTAATAATAACTTTCTGTTTTAAATACTAAAGTACAAAAGGAAATTTGTTTGTTTATATTTAACATCAATTTTACACAATCAAAAGTGGTCACCCTCGAATAAAACACGATTCCAACTGGACATTATACCAAATGTGTTACCGGTCAAATCATTTTTAAACTTTTGAAGGTCAATACCAACACGACCGGCTTTAGACGACAATTTAAGTCGAGGAATCGCCAATGGAGTTCAAGCCGCTGAACCTGAGCTATTTGTTGCTAAAACAATTGTTTGCAATCCCTTTGATAAATACCGGAAGCCGGATGGTACATGTAATAACTTGTTCCGAACAGACATGGGAGCTGCAGGGACTCCACAGTCTAGATTTGTACCACCAGAGTATGGTGATCGTAAGTAGAATAATACAAAAAACAGGTCCGCGGCGATGTCAAAAAAGAACAGTAATCATATTTTAGTAAAAGTAATAAGTAATAAGTAAAACAAGTACATGTAAATGAAATCTTCCTTATTTGTAAGTTTTGAAAATACTTGATAAATAATAAAATTGAGAATGGAAATGGGAACGTGTCAAAGAGGCAAAAGCCCGACAAAAGATCAGAAAACTGCACACAAGGCCACCAATGGGTCTTCAACACAGCCAGAAAATCCCGCAGATTTATGCTAACATTTCTGAAAAGTTCATAACTGGTAAAAGTGAAAGTACTGTACTAGAAGGTAATTCAAAATTTAGATGATAATGTGGGAGGGGTGGATGGGGGGTGTCGACACTGACTTGAAAATTTGGAAAATATCATACGTATCAACATAGTACAATTTGTTTTGTATATACACATGTATGGGTTTTAATGGATGTTACGGTTTTCCTTGATATAGACATGTAAAGTACATCTTAAATACATTTACAGCATGGAATCTAGGGTTTTATCCGCGCACACTTGGAAAAGATGGAAATCCACTGCCAGGACCAAGAGAAATATCGAACAAGATTTTTAGAAGTTTACCATCTTCACCAAAAAGTAGAAAGTTTAATGTGGCTTTGACACATTTTGGTCAATTTATTGACCACGACGTCGTCGCAACCCCGATTGAAATTGGTAAGTCAAGTCTTAGGTTAAAAACACGATCATTTTATGTTGGAGGCATATATTTCAAATGGAATCTCATATTACATGGCTGACATAATAGTTAATAAAAGTAAAAAAATAATATGTTCATTGACGTAATTCATTTCACTATATACCATTTATAATAATTTTTTTTATAGATTATCTTGTATTGACATTGATGTCTGCATGTATGTTTGTAACTCCTCAGTCAAAAAAGAAGAAAAAGACATCATTTTTGTACTTTTTGTCTTGAATATTTAAGGAATGACTGTAATATTTTTTCTGTCTATGAAGAAATAACATCAAAAGTGTGCACCACATTTTTTAGGTTATTTCGAATAGACAGAAAGAAATATTACAGTCATTCCTTATAGTTTAATTCTAAATTCCAATTGTAAGGAGTAAATTTTATATAAAAAAAAAACGTTGGTGACGTCACGGTCACATGACAAAATTATGTCTATGAGCTGATAGACAAAACCCTTTCAGCCAATCAGAAGACGTGTTACATCCAAAATTAAATTATATGACGATAAATGAAAATAATAATTATTGCTTTTTTTTTGGTTTTTTGTTTGATGACAATCCAGATTTTAGACTTTATATTAATATATCTCTGACTTTGACTCTTTTGACCTTGTAAATAAAAGTAAAGAGCTGTGGTTTAAATGCATATGAGGCAACTATCCTCTAAGAACAAAGAACAATTACAGGCCACTGTGCGGCCATCAACAATTAGCCAAACTTATACCGAATAGTAAGCTTCACAAGTTCCCGAAAATAATTGTCACACAATTCAAAAGAGAAAACCACCAAACCGATTTAACTAATAATATCAAACGGAAAACATTTGTGGCAGACAGAAACAACAAATAATACAGATAGATTTATGACAGACAGATAGAAATAAAATACCCCACAAAATACAATTTTTGAGAACCACGAGTTACGTTATGTACTACAAAATGTATATAACGTAATTCCCCTTTTTCAAAATGTTGAAAATTGAAAATAAAGTTGAAAACAAAATATCATAAATATCTGAAAATAGTAGACAAAACTGAGCTTCTGTTCTCCAACTAGATGAATACGCTACATTATAATTTAAAAAGTAGTAGAATGTAGAAATATCGTATTAAAGGTGTAAAGGGAGATAGACCATTGCATTTGAAATATATAGCTGTCTCCGTGTTTATCAAAAATTGACATAGAACACTATAAGACTCATACGACAATTCTATTTAATTTTTCTTACTTTTTATTTTATATATATTTTGGTCACTTTACCTTACTTACAGATACTGATGGCACTGATATAGAATGCTGCAATGGGAACATTCCTGTCATCAGGTAAGTTAGGGAATACTGATGGCACTGATATAGAATGCTGCAATGGGAACATTCCTGTCATCAGGTAAGTAAGGGAATACCGATGGCACTGATATAGAATGCTGCAATGGGAACATTCCTGTCATCAGGTAAGTAATACTGATGGCACTGATATAGAATGCTGCAATGGGAACATTCCTGTCATCAGGTAAGTAATACTGATGGCACTGATATAGAATGCTGCAATGGGAACATTCCTGTCATCAGGTAAGTAATACTGATGGCACTGATATAGAATGCTGCAATGGGAACATTCCTGCCATCAGGTAAGTAATACTGATGGCACTGATTTAGAATGCTGCAATGGGAACATTCCTGTCATCAGGTAAGTAATACTGATGGCACTGATTTAGAATGCTGCAATGGGAACATTCCTGTCATCAGGTAAGTAATACTGATGGCACTGATATAGAATGCTGCAATGGGAACATTCCTGTCATCAGGTAAGTAATACTGATGGCACTGATATAGAATGCTGCAATGGGAACTTTCCTGTCATCAGGTAAGTAATACTGATGGCACTGATATAGAATGCTGCAATGGGAACATTCCTGTCATCAGGTAAATAATACTGATGGCACTGATATAGAATGCTGCAATGGGAACATTCCTGTCATCAGGTAAGTAATACTGATGGCACTGATATAGAATGCTGCAATGGGAACATTCCTGTCATCAGGTAGATACGTGTAGGGAGTATTGAATCATATAATTATAAATAGTTGTGGACGATAATCGGCATTAATACAGTAAAATATGAGGTTTCTTAGCTTCGAGGCGTTGTTCATCAATTATAAGTAGGAAAATATGAGATGACAAAACAATAAGAAAACAATACTTAAAAATCATAAATAAAAACAACAATGTCATGATACCAAAAGTTGTTACAGATAAGCGTAATTTATTTTTTATGTGACTGGGATATGCATTAATTAAATACTCCTTTAAATAGCTCATTTATACTCCGAGGAGTTGGTGGAATCGCGGCAGAACAAATTAACGTCGGCTTAATTACTCACTAAAATAGCTGCTACACATTTTAGTTTATGTCATGTCACAATAAAAGAACTCGTAAACATTTTGATTTAAAATTTTCTATGTAGCACCATTCCAGCAGCGCCTGCATATGGAGTATATATCTCCCAGTTACGATATTCCAGAGCTTGTATTTCTTTTCATGATTTCCTTGATAGAGGGTTGCTGCTTTCACGTAAGCTTTTAACCAAGAGTTCCAAGTGGTGAAATTGAAGTCATCCTTTCGAAAATTATACGGACGCCATTATGAGTTGGTTGACCGTTATGGAATATCACAAATGACAACGGCTATGTTCCAATTGTCTTGACCACAATCCGTCATATATTCCTCAATGAGACCTACCGAATTAGATTTATCACTGGGTTTGTACTTACATGTGCAACACAACGGGTGCCACACGTTGAGAAGGATCAGCTTACCCTTCGGAGCACTAGACATTACGCCCCTGTTTTTGTGGGTTCCGTGTTGCCCAGTCTTTTGTTTGTTGTGTTGTGTTTTGTTTACTGTTTGTCTTTTGGTAGTATATCGCCATGGTATTGTCAGTTCGTTTTCGACTCATGGGTTAACATATCCCTTTTGGTATCTCTCGCCTCTCTTTTACACTGTAAGTTCTTTTAAAAACCAGTATGAGAGGCACTTGTACCTGTGGTTTAAACTTGTCGGTACGATTGAATATGAATAAGAGACAAAAGAGATGAAATATGTGTCAACAAGACAGAACTCAACGACATACACACCACATGACGTATATATTTACGTCAGGTAAAGGTGACTGTTAATTGATTTGGTTATTCTGTTAGGCCCCTTTTGATCATATAGCTCTTCACTTGTTTAGGTACTTATACATCTTTAGCTTTTAGTTTTGTTGGTATGAGCGTTTGTGGTGAAGTAAATCAAGGCAAACGCTTATAATGCAACAATTTAATAAAGTGAGATTTTCATTTGACGGTCTTTATCAATACACATTTGTTTATGCAATATATTTATCCCTTGGAGAATACGTTATTAAGTTGAAAAAAACTTGTGTCTAATCTGTTTGTTTGTTTTGAACTATTACTTATGTTTAAACTAACAGTTACTATTAAAGATTTGCCAGTGACACCAAGTTCTTCATATGAAATAACATTAACGGTACCAGACTTAGTAGTAGTAACTCTTGGTTAATACACTAGATTAAGTTTGACAAATTATGCCTCTTCAGTGATGATGTAGTCATAATAGAAATATTAAAGTAAATGAAATGATCATTTTTAATTTGACAAACTGAGTTAAATGATAAAAATGCCATTGTTTATAACTCTTCAAAAATACATACTATAATTGTTTATAACTCTTGACCTTCACTTTATATATAAAGTTACTTGAAAGAAGTATCTTTTTCAGTTAAATATCATATATTTATGAATATCTATACATAAAAATTTTTCAATCTAATTTCATAGTAAATCTCTGTTTTTTTCTTTTTTTTCAAACCTCTTATAATTAACAAATACTAGTTAAGATTTCATTATTTGCCAAATTAAAAGAGTATTGGTATCATTTTAGCTTAACCTTATTTAGATTTTTCAAATTGAAAAGTACATATGAATAAGAAGATGTGGGATGAGAACCAATGAGACAACTCTCCATCCAAGTCAAAGTGCTGCCTTCAACACGGAGCCTTGGCTCTAACCGAACAGCAAGCTATAAAACACCCCAAAAATGACTAGTGTAAAACAATTCAAACAGGAAGACCAACGATCTAATCTATATAAAAACGAGAAACGAGAAACACTTAATCTTGATATTTCATTATTGTTTTTAGATCTGAATGTTTTCCATTTTCAACACCGCCGGGAGAATTTTTATACACCTGTATGAATTTTGTTCGTTCAGCGCCAACATTGACGTATCCTCCTTATGCAGGTATTCACTATATTCTGATTTCATTTTAAGATTGAGTTTCATGAACAACTTTCGGATAAACTTTTTATTTCTTAACTCGTTTTGTTTTCATCATTTATAATAACAATGGCGTTACTCGGGTGATTTATAATTGTGTAGAGTTACATAGAAAAGGTCAGTTGTGTGAGTAAAATGGGTCTGTTCCGTTGATCTTGGTTGTGGAAGACACGTTTGAAGTTAAGTTGCAAATCGAATATTATTCCAATTTGTACAAATTGTTTCATGTAAGAAAAATAAACAGCTTTTTGAATGTCACTTTCTCAATGCAATATTTATAAATTCCTCTATAAAAAACGGTTATTCAATCGTTGGTTTTATAGGAACAAAAAGAAAACAATGGTATTGTCCTATGTTTTACAAAACAACACTATAACGAAATTATCAAAGTTTGAGCATGTGCAGATTATGGTCCGTGGATGAGCTACTTTATAAGAAAGCAATCAGTCGATTGATCTACTGGGAATAATATTTTTGATGTTGACTTACATAAGACTGTCCACTGTTTTTGTATTTTATATGTAGATATTATAGGGATATATCTTTGATTGTTTTAATTCGATATTTAAAGAATACTGTATTTTACTTTTTAAACATTTTGAAACCAATCTTTTTCTTCTGCAGTACAGTTAGTACTGTTTATGTTATAGATACAATTTGGTTGATACAGATGCTGGTAGACTGTTTGTCCACGATCGATGATATCACCAGCTCTGTAACACGTACTTTGGTACTGGTATAAAAATACGGGTACTAGAAGTATTGTTTAATGCAATTTGCTGTTTAAAATTTTAAGAAATAACTATAAATTAAGGCATGTATCTACATTTGTGCCTCATGCATAGCTCTGAATCTTTTTCCGGGGTTGGCTATCCTTTTTTGTTTTATATGCAATTCAACGTTTGTATTAGGTTTTGAATTTTTACATATTTAATGTGTCATTTTAAAATTGAAGGTCCACGACAGCAAGAGAATGCAATAACTTCTTGGTTAGATCTCTCAAGTGTCTATGGAAGCAGTGATGAGGAATTACAAAACCTACGCACAGACGGTGACGACGGTAAATATTATTTTGCCCAAATGTACTTATTAATAAGTGAATGGACATATCAAGTAAAAATTGAGATCATACAGAAAATATTTAAAGAGAAACACAAAGGCCTGATTTGTTCGGACACAGAAAATTATGAAGTGTTGTTTTGCTCATAGATCAACAATAAATGTAATACAAGGTGTTTGTAGAAACCAACCACAACCACATCATTTCAAGCGTTTTGCTTGGGCCAGGAAAATAAAGAATGTATTTGTTTTAAACACTTTAGTGAGCGGTATAATTTGTCCCCGCGTCAATGACGGTATTTTAACAACATAACATAAGAACTGTAAAATTAGTTTGATATGTCTTGACTCTTTATGTTGGTACTAAGCATAAAAGCAAATCAAAACAGCTGACTGTAATTCTTAATCGTTATATATTTTACTTCAGGTAAGCTGAAAACAGGTTACAATGATTTACTGCCAGACAACCCAGCAGATGATTCATGTGCCGACGCATTTCAATCATTATGTTTTCATGCAGGTAAGCTTTACACTTCTATTCCCCATGCTAAATTGAAAGATCGACTTCACCATCTCATTAAACAGAGCTTTTTCTATAAAAATGGGAATCGTAGATATACATTTCTTGTTTTGGGTTATGATATTCTTATTTTGTGAAGAGCCACTCTGATTCTATCAGAAAATACAGTGAAGATGATATTATCAAAATGCTGGAATTTTTAATCGACATTATATTTGTTGAGTTTGAAGGATTGATATTTCAACAGACAGTAGGTATTCCAATGGGTACTAATTTTGCAAACCTTCTGGCCGACTTGTTTTTGTACTCGTATGAAGCAGAATTCACTCAAAACCCTCTAAAAGACAAAAAGAAAAAGCACCTTGCAGAGTTCTTTAATTTTACTTTCAGATATATTGATGATGTCCTATCACTGAATAACCCATATTTCAGTCAGTACTTGCATCTCATTTATCCCAGTGAACTTGAAATTAAGGATACTACTGGTACAAGAAGGGCTGCTTCATACCTCATCTTTTCCTCAATAGTGACACAGATGGACGACTTCACACTAAAATCTATGACAAACGGGATGATTTCAACTTCCCAATTATCAATTTCCCATTTCTCTGTAGTAACATACCCTCTGCTTCGTCGTATGGTGTGTACATATCTCAATTGATACGCTATGCTGGTGCATGTTCACAATATACTGACTTCATATACAGGAGTGTGCTCATTACGTAGAAACTGCTACAACAGAGTAATGAGGAGGAAAGATTAAAAATGACACTCCGTAAATTTTATGGACACCATCACGAATTGGTTGATCTATACGATGTGTCTGTTTCTTAACTAACTAATGAAATTTTTACCACGTCTTAGATTGTGGTTTAACATCTATGTCGTTTGTCTGCTAAGTACCGAACGTGACCTATTCCCGAATATGACTGTTATACGAGAGTGAATTTACATTGCTATACGACTTGTCTCGATATTTTGTACATCCAACATTCATGTATTAATTTTTGATTTTGTTGTTATGGTTTCGGTTGAATAATGTGTTATGTCGTATCGTTTGTTGTCCAAATAATTATAAAATTGCCTTTCAATACCATCATTGTCATACTCCCGAATATGACTGTTATACTGAATGTGAATTTGCATTGCTGTGCGGCGTGTCTCGGTGTTTTGAACATCCAACATTAATGGATTTATTTTGATGTTTCTGTTATGGTTTTGGTTGGATAATATGTTATGTCTTTTCGTTTGTAGTCCAAAATAATTATAATATTGCCTTTTCCTACCATCATTGTCATGGAAGTTGTTTTGACGAATATTGTGAAAACAATTGTAAAAAATTCGAGATTTCATGTTTGTTACGTAAGCGCGTCACTGTTTTTGATATCCTGTGGTGTTTTTCGTTGATGGAATATGTTCGATGTTGTTCTGTGGTTTGCATGTTGTGTCGACTATTATATTATTCGTTTGTGCGTTTCTCTGTTATGAATGTTCTTGCTTGTGTTTGTGCTGTATTTCTGTCACGTAGTGTTTTAGCCATTTTTTTAACATTGTCATAAAGCGGGAGGTTTGGCATACCATGAAACCAGGTTCAACCCACCATTTTTTCTTTAAATGTCCTGTACCAAGTCCGGAATATGGCAGTTGTTATCAAATTGTTCGTTTCTATGTGTGTTGGCGTTTGTTTTTGTTGCACTTCGGTGTTCCTGTTGTTCCTTTGTTTTCCTCTTATAGTTGATGTGTTTCCCTCGGTTTTGGTTTGTAACCGGGATTTGTTTTCTCTCAATCGATTTATGACTTTTTGAACACCGGTATACTGTTGCTTTTATTTAAATCAGCAAAAGTAACAACTTTATTGCTTGTCATCACAATGCAAAGCTATAGGTTTCAGTCGATACATGTCATCTAGAAATTATTACTAAACAAAAGTTAGATCTTATTCGTTGTTTATTGGTGTGGCTAAGATTGTATTGGCTATAATGAGTTATTATGAAAACACGTTAGGAGAAGAAATTATATACGGATGGCCTTACAGTATTCGAGACCCGATCGATAAATATGTTGTTATAATTACATTACATGTATGTTTGACGAAAATGCGTTAGTTTGATTGGCTAACAACAATCACGTGTCACTCAAAAATTAACCTTCATATCAAAATGAAAAGTTACATTCGTGAAGACCCGTGTTTCCAATGAAAAATGGACAGGTAAATAAAAGAAAAAACTATATATTTTTTTTCATGGTCTTATTAGCATAAAAATTTAATTATTAAATTTTGTTTGGGATGTAAAAGTGTTGATCGTGCACACATTTTTAAAATGAAGCGCTTCAGCACTTCATACAAAATGTGCCTCGGTTAACACTTTTACACCCAGATAAAATTACAAAAAGAAGCACTCGTTTCTTAAATATGGTCACCAAGTGTCGGATAAGCACTAACAGTCAAACATTCGTTTGTTTTGATTTGTAATTTAATGTTCAATATTACTACTCATAAATTAACAAAAACAAAATAATTATTCCAAAAATTGATAAATAATTGAGAATCTGTCATTTTCTCTAAAAACATAAAAAATACAAAACCAAATACGGACGATCATTTATGATACTACGAAAACAATTCATACCGTTTAAAAAAAGTTACACTGTTATCACCCAAAACGATATATTTTCTGTAATATAAAGTATAATTTCTTTAAGGAAAAGTGAGTGTTATTGATGTGAAAACATTATATGTTGTACCTAAAAACTAAAAAGTATCAACAGTAACGGGATTTTTGTTGTTTTTTTTTTGTTTTTTTTCCGTGTCTAGATTTGTTGTCTGTTTTTGATGTCCATTTTTTTTCATGTGGATTTTAATTGTTTAATGGTATCTCTGTTTGTAGTCTATGAAACGTAAGAAAAAAAGTGAGATAGAATATGGTAACAGTTGCTAAAAATACATAATAGAAAAAAAAACAATTCACATCAGACATCAAATAAGTAGATTGAATTAAGCCTGTGTATATGATTACATTCGCTTTTCAAAATTTAAAATTTCAGATCGTTTGGTGAATATAGAAACGTGTCACGTATGATATACTTATTTTTTTTCAGGTGACCACAGAAATTCCGAAGTACCACTCCTAACTGTCATGCATACTATTTTCCTACGGGAACATAATAGAATTGCAGAAAGACTAAAACTTGATCATGGTTGGGACAACGACAAAATATTTAATGAAGCACGGAAGATTTTAACAGGAGTTTATCAACATATAGTATATAACGAATTTCTTCCAGCTCTTCTTGGTTTTGATTGGTCAATAGCAGTTGGTTTGATGAGTCAACCACAAGGTCATATACATCTGTATAGCAGTTTTTTGGACGGTTCAACACGTAATGCTTTTGGAGCAGCTGCGTATCGGATGGGTCATTCTCTCGTCGGTGATTCTGTTGGTGCTTCAAATTCATTATTTAACCAGATTCAATTTAAAAAACTTCATGAAACATTTTTTAACACGGAAACTATTCGAGATAGTGCTCAATATGGTCCAACACGGATTGGAAGATGGATGTCTTCAACATATGATAGACAGATGGATAGATTTTTGTCTAAAGAAGTAAGGGATCATTTGTTTCAAGATACAAATAACCCCTTAGATGCTCTTGACCTTGGAGCACTTAATATTCAACGAGGTCGAGATCATGGTCTACCAGGATATAATAGATTCAGACAGTTCTGTGGCCGTTTTCCAGCTGTATTTTGGACAAATACACCAGGAGGATTTGTAGACCATGATTACAAAACTGTAGAAAAGCTACATAGTATTTACGGGTATGTCTTTTTGCTGTAAAAAACAACAACAGAAAACGGAATTAAAAGATCGGTAGTTTGTCATGGATAAAGCTGAACAGCTTATTGTGAAATCCATTTGGTTTAGTTATCTGTTCTTTGTTAATCAGATAGGACTGTGTGTATGGGAACTTTGTACAACATTTGTTTCGTACTAAACGGGTATTACATTAACAAAATTTAATTTTCTGATAATTAAAAGTAATAATTCATAATACTGATGTTAGGATAATATCACTGTTGAACAATTAAAATTGACAATTCATATTACGGATGTTTGAATATTAATATCACTGTTGAATAACCTAAAACGGAAAATAGTTTAACTATGTAAACGACATGTTTCGTTTAAAACAAAATGTAGTTTCTAAACTGTTGGTTTCTTTTTTTTTTTCATTTTTGACGTTACTCGATTTGGCATATTTTGTCAGTAGTTTTTTTTGGAGCGTCATATTACTATTTCTAACATGACAGAAATAACTAAATAGATGAACATCCTTCAAAGGAGAGAAAATGCAAAATATAATTAAATAATCTCAGCTATATTACTATATACATGTAGCTAATGTCTGACATAATGCTTGTTATCGAAAGTAGTTATTCATATATGAATAAATCAAACTAGAGGCAGATATAGTTCTAAAATGTTTTAATCCAGTGAATGCATTAAGCATATATCAGTTTATATTAAAAGAAAATTCCGATGAATGAAATGAACTCCAGAACGGAACAAGACCGGATGTGTCGACTAGGTATACGTCTCCTCGCTCACCTTGCAAATCCGCACTCAGTCAAACTGTTACAAAATAGATCACAATTGGTAAATTTAAAAATCAAAGGACTTTTCTGGTATCTTAATGACTTAAAACAAGAGGGAAGGTACCAGGATTGGGGACAATTAAGTCCAACTAGAATAAACAACTCCACCATGGACAGAAAGAATAAATAGCTGTGCCATGAGCCCATAATACACCCGTAGCTTTTTAAACGAATAAAGTTCCATAACTCCTTAATGTCATATCAGAATTTTATATAAAAAAAAAACTAAAGGGAGCTTATTCTAATATATATAAACCATTCACCAAAGTTTCATAAACACTGCTCAAACAATTTTTGAGTTATTGTGCGAAACTGGGAAATCACCCATTTTTATGACTAAAATCCCATAACTCGGAAAAGTAAGTCTGAAATTAATTAAGATCGAAATGGAGCTCACGTCAATAGATATAAACAATTCACAAAAGTTTCATGAAAATAGGTTAAATTGTTTTTGAGCTATTGTCCGACATATTAACGAAGGACGAACGGACAGACGGACAGACAGACAGACAGACGGACAACGGTAAACCATAATAAGTCCCGTAAACGGGCGTATAAAAGTGACGAAAAGACATTCATCAATAACACAACATTCAACAGAAAACTAAATATTGAGCAACATGAAACCTAACATTAACTTCGGGTAGTCCGAAAGGGTAAGCAGTTCCTGCATTTTCATGTGGATCCTGTCGTCTTGAACATGTAATCTTATTCGGTAAAGCTAAACCCACGAAAGTCTTGTCGCTTGAGAACAAGACATTTCGTACCAATCAACCAATTCGAAGTAAGACTTCATCAGGAGGCAATATAAACAAGGAATCATGACATGGCATAACAATCTTCAAAGCGGATGGTACTTTCGTGAAAACATTCTTCAAACAAGATTTGACCATGTTATAGATATCTCCCGTAATTATTGTATTCATTAAGTGGGAATGTTTTATTCATTAATTGGAAATAAATCAATTTAAATATAACGATGTGATGTAAATAAAAGAGCAATTTGTTTTGTAGGCCGAATGTAGATGACGTTGATCTGTACGTTGGGGCTTTATCTGAGAGACCAGAATCACCAAATACAGTTGTTGGTCCAACATTTAGATGTCTAATTGCCGTACAATTCCTCTACTATAAATATGCGGATAGATTTTTTTATGAACATTTTTCCCCAACAACTGGATTCACACTAGGTATGTTTATCCGCTATTCAGGCTTCGTCAAGCTTATATTTAGATCATCACGTGTTTCAGAGAAGGAACGAGTTTGAATTATATAATAATTCACAATTACTTATCTTTACTAATCGTTCATTCAGTCAATTAACAGTCGTCCCGACCCTTGACTTACTTCTACTAACTCTGGGGTAAAGATATTTTGAGTAAATTTGAACAGACCTTGCAGTAATCCTATAATGACCTTGGTTAAATTCAACATACGTAGCTAGGATACAAAGATTTTAAATGGAAACCGTCCTCTTGTGTCACGGTAAATGTAAAATAATGGTTTCCAGTTGATAGCAATATCGATATATTGAGAGACTTACAACATGTTTATTAATTTCAGCTCAAGTCAATGATATAAAAAAACAGACCCTTGCTGGAATATATTGCAGAAATCTAAATATAAACAAAATTCAACCCAAAATATTTCTAAACCCAGATAACACGTAAGTTTTAATTAATAACTTTTAAATGAAGATAACAATGATTCCGAGAGAGAAACATGAAAACCCTAAAATACATTATTGTGATGAAAGATTGTTATATCTGACTGGTACAAGTCCTTAATAAATCATCTTTGGACACGTCCAATAACCGAATGGTGTTGTGCAAATATAGAAATAAGATGTGGTATGATTGCCAATGAGACAACTTTCCACAAGAGACCAAAATGACACAGAAATTAACAACTATATTTCACCGTACGGCTTTCAACAATGAGCAAAGCCAATACTGCATAGTCAGCTATAATAGGCCCGGAAATGAAAAATGTAAAACAATTCAATAAAGGCAACAGTAGTTACCGCTGTTCGAAATTCATAAATCGATTGAGAAAAAACAAATCCGGGTTACAAATTAAAACTGAGGGACACATCAAATATAAGAGGATAACTACGACTCAACAGAAACACAACATTAAAATGTAACACACACAAAAACTATAATATAACAATGGCCATTTTCTTGACTTGGTACAGGACATTTTAAGAAAAAAATGGTGGGTTGAACCAAATATATCGTATAAATTCAGTTGACCCAAACTAAAATCTAATGAATGAACTGGGGATTAATTATCTTTACCATAACACACGAATACAACAGAAAAAAATAAGATTTACAACTACAAACGATAAGACATTTGACAAAATCCGATGAGAATAACAAAATTATATAACATCAAAACTAAATACATGAATTTTGAATAGAAAAGTACCGTGACACGTCTTAGCTTATAGCAATGCGAATTCACACTCAGCAAAACAGTCACAATCGTTAACCCATTTCTCTGACGTCAGTCTATTGTTCTGACTGTAGATTATTTTTCAAGAATCCACTGACCATAGTATTAACTTAAGAGAACTTATATTATTACTTTAAACTTTTAACTTACGATCTTTTATCCTCTCAAAAACGAGTGGCATGTGTAGGATTCGAACCCGCGCGTATTTTCTTCGTAATCAATACAGTCTTCAGTCTATGCATGATACCACTAGACCACGATGGCTGACATCTATCATTATATAAATAGTACTCTTAAAGCGCTTACTTGTCAATACATGTCATTTAACTGTATTTCTGTCTCATTGATAATTCGCTTTTGTAATCTAATGATATATATATATATCTTGGTTTGTTCATGTTTATTCAATTTGTTTTATTTTGGGTGTTATTTTTTTTTAAGAAATGGGTTAAAACTACTTCTTTGACAATAAAAACAGAAACAAAATCATCGCCATTATATGAAAATGAAATATATGATACTTCTACATGTTCTAGGATTAAAACAATATTTTGGTCCAGAAAAAAAAAATTACAATGAAAAAAATTCATTCCGGGTACAAGGTTCGAACTTTGCACTGTTAATATCACCGTTATGACATTCGTTATCAACGACTAGACTATCACGGCTATGAACAGCTTGATGGTAAGTTTATGAAATCAACATAATTATTCATTGTACATCCGTAGCAAGAGCAATTCTGATGTGGATTCAGAATGCGTACCACAGATAAAACTATTTTACTGACCGGTGAACGATATATGCCAAATGTAATAACGCTAAAATAATCTTAACTTAAATGAAACGGAAACAGTTTAAACAAAATTTAAATATAATTGTTCAATTTAAATCGTTAGCGCATAATTTTAATACTTTAAACAGCAATATGAATTATGAAATGGCAGATTTATGGCATATACGCTAATAATATTTAATTGACTAAGAACGACATAATGGTGTAACGATTTCATTATACCAAATCACGTTGCTAAATATTATACATATACATTTTGAAGATTCTAAATTTTGGTAATTAAAATTTTTTAACTTTTCAAAACAAGATGAATAAATTCTGTATATCAATATATGTCTTTTTGAATAAATTAAATATACCAAAATCTATTTAATTTAAATAATTTGTAATGATTAAAGATTAAATGAAATATGTATATACAAAAATAAAATCTGGTATTAAAAAGGGGAGCTAACACCCCATTTAAGTTATATTAAACTTATGTTAACTTGTCAAATGTCTAAATATAGATGCGAACCGTGTGGATATATTCATTTCCAGCTATTATAGAATAAAAAAGACAAAATACCAAACTTTTTTTATGAAATATTGTTGATTCATTGTCAAAACGTAAAACAGACAGTCGTTTTACTAGAAATGGGTTAAGCTAGAGAATTGATAAGAAGTAGTGGATTCGGAAACGATAATCAACTTGCGACTAAAGTCGCTCGTTGATTATCGTTTACGAATCCACTACTTCTTATCAATTCTCTACTACGGAATAAGTCACGTTCGGTAATTAAAAAATAAGACGACGTAATGTCAAACCACAATCTAACACGTGGTAAAAATGTCCTTAGTTAGTTTGGACAAAGACATCGTATGGATCAACCAATTTGTGATGGTGTCCGTAAAATTTACGGAGTGTCATTTTTAATCTGTCCTCCTCATAGCTTTGTTTGAGCAGTTTCTGCGTGAGGAGCACACTCCTGTGTATGAAGTCCATATAGTGTAAACATAAAATCGAGAATGGAAATGGGGAACGTGTCAAAGAGACAACAACCCGACCATAGAACAGACAACAGCAGAAGGTCACCAACAGGTCTTCAATGCAGCGAGAAATTCCCGCACCCGGAGGTGTCCTTCAGCTGGCCCCTAAACAAATATATATACTAGTTCAGTGATAATGAACGCCATACTAAACTCCAAATTGTACACAAGAAACTAAATTTAAAAATAATACAAGAATAACAAAGGCTAGAGGCTCCTGACTTGGGACAAGCGCAAAAATGCGGCGGGGTTAAACATGTTTATGAGAACTCAACCCTCCCCCTATACATCTAGCCAATGTAGAAAAGTAAACGCATAACAATACGCACATTAAAATTCAGTTCAAGAGAAGTCCGAGTCTGATGTCAGAAGATGTAACCAAAGAAAATAAACAAAATGACAATAATACATAAATAACAACAGACTACTAGCAGTTAACTGACATGCCAGCCCTAGACTTCAATTAAACTGATTGAAAGATTATGTCTTCATCATATGAATATCAGGCACAATTATGCATGAGCATAACGTATCAACTGAGATATGTAAACACCATACGAAGGGGCAGAGGGTATATTACTACAGAGAAATGGGAAATTGATAATTGGGAAGTTGAAATCGTCCCGTTTATCATAGATTTTCGTGTGAAGTCGTCCATCTGTTGCAATATTGAGGAAAAGATCAAGGTATGAAGCAGTCCTTCTAGTATCAGTAGTATCCTTAATTTCAAGTTCACTTGGATATATGAGATGTAAGTATTGGCTGAAATATGGGTTATTCAATGATAGGACATCATCAATATATCGCAAAGTAAAATTAAAGAATTTCGCAAGGTGCTTTTTCTTTTTGTCTTTTAGAAGGTTCTGAATGAATTCTGCTTCAAACGAGAAAACAAATGGCCTAATTTATGTACAAAATAATGAACGAAAAACAAATATGGTACACAACAACAAACGACAACCACTGAATTAAAGGCTCCTGACTTTAGACAGGCATATTTAGAATGTGGCGCGGAGCAAAATGTATGTCATTAATGCACATATTTCATTGTTATCTTATGGTGATATGAGTTTCTGATTGTTTTAGTGTTTCTTTTTGTATTTGGAGAATCTTATTTTAAATTGTGATTGTTTTAGTGTTTCTTTTTATGCCTTAAAGTATATGGGGAATCTAATTTTAAAAATAGTCGACTTTACCTACACACATTTCTGAATTGAAAATCGGGAGTTGCGCCGATCATTTACAAACGTGTCAATGTGTACTCGACTAACCTGTACGAATGATGAGCAAACATAATCAATTTTGGTTTTTTCCGTAAACAGATTGCTATTTAAAACTATTTATATAACAGAAAATATAATATGTAAAAAAGGAGATGTATTATGATTTCCAATGAAACAACTATCTACTAGAATTTATATGACGTGGATGTAAGCAACTATTGTTTACCGTTCGGCCTTCATGAATGAACAAAACAAATACCGTACGTATAGTCTGCTGTAAGTGCCCTCATAGAATAATGAGATGCAGTTTGACTGTCAAAGAAACAACACCCCACCAGAGACCAAATGACGTATACGTAAATGTTAACAACTATCATCGTTCGGACTTCAATAATGAGCATTACCCAAACCATATAGCAAGCTATTAACCGCTAAAACAAGGCAAAACAACAAACAAAATCAAGCGAAAAACAACAACCTCTGAATTACTGCTGTCTCCTGACTTCGGACCGGAACACACAGAATGTGGTGAAGTTTGACATGTTCCCCCCCCCCCCCCCCCCCCCCCCCCGGCCAACGACAGTGGTATAACAGCACTAAATAAAAAAATGAGCTATAAAAATCAGTTGAAAAGGGTTCAACTAATCAGATCGGTACATTGAATCCAGTTTTACATCAGGTGATAAATACAAACAAATAATGAGTAAAATACATAAAAAACAGAATATGCAGAGAGTATAGCAGTATATCAGACAATAGCAGCACAAGTGTGAACACCTCAGATTCCGATACACTTTAAAAAGACGCACGTCAGTAGTCAATGACAAACTGGCAATACCACAGCAAAAACGACAAATTACCAAAAGACAAATAATAGTCTACAAATTTAGACAAAACACAGAAAACTAAAGACTACGCAAAACGAATCCTATCAAAACACCGAGGGGATTTCAGGTTCTCGGGAAGGGTAAGCACATCACGAAACAGTATTTGCTTTGTTTGATTTAAATGATATTAAGAAATAAAAAGAAAATCAATTCTACAGATATGTTTTAAGATTAACATTGCTTTTATTTCAGACAAGATCCAACGAACCGCATTGATTGTAAACATTTACCTGACTTAAAATTTGATCTTTATTAGGAAATAGTGATTACTCTGCAGGAGCAAAATGTATGTCATTACCCACATATTTCATGGTTATATTATGTTGATATGCGTTTGTGATTGCTTTTAGTGTTTCTTTTTATGTTTTTAATTATTGGGGGAATCTAATTTTAAATCGTTGCGTTTGATGAGAAGGACTGTGGATTAATGAAGATATGGAAACATTAAACCTATTGAAAAAAATGCTTTGCTATTGTATATTACGAAGCTATCGGTAAATAAAAATTGTTGAAAAATATATCATTTGAGTTATTGCGTTTATGTATGCACAATTTATAATTTTAAAATCGACCTTATGCAATTGCACGTATGCATGTACATGTGTAAGAGGTTAATTGATTTTGGAACATTCAAATACGAAATAAAAGATGCATTTTGGTATGTGTTGTAGGGTTCTTATATCAACTCAATTTTCAAACAGTTACAGCTTTGCTTAGAGATTTTCAACTCGAAATAGGTTAACAAAAAGATTGATATTCATCTGCATAAGGTCGATTTCTATCTAACACAGCTATTATATTACTTCCAAAAACTTCTTAAATATGCAAGACTGATTAACATTTAAATTTTTTGAAAATGAAAACAAATTCTTTTTAAATCTGGCAATTTGTTTGGAATAATTATTAATATAGATTTTTAAGTCTTCCAATAATCAAGATTTAAACTTGGCAATTCGTCACACCGTATTCTTTTGACCGGAAGTTTTCTGAAATAAAAACAATATGTCATTAATTTGGTAGAATACTCATTGCATTTACATGTAGGAACATATGAGTTGTGTACTTTTAGATACGAAAAATAAAAAAACTATTTATGTTATATATTTACAGTTTTGTATACAGCTACTAGCAAACAAAACCAACTTAACAAAGACATCTTGCCTCCAGTCCGACAATAAATTCCCGCAAACGTATGTCGCTTTATCTCATTCAATTGATCTAAATTAAAAGATAATTTTAAACAATCAATAGTGTTTGTTCCTCAACTTGATGTCCCAAATATATAGATAATTACGGAAGAAGACGAAGAGAGACGAAAAATACCAAAGAAGTCAAGAACTGACAAAGCCATGGTAAAACCGAAACCGACCAAAAGACAAACAACAGTATAGAAAACATAACACAGAAAACTGAATAAATTTTAGTAATTAATCTTTGGTTACAACCCCTTTCAGTCTACAAAATTAAGTCATCCGATTGGAGGTTTTCCATTTGTGCTTTTTTGTGGAGATCCTATCATCCTATGCTATTCTTATAGATTATCGATGGTATTTCAAACGGGAGGGTGTTTCTCAGCTACCATCTCATCGAAGGGCAACAGCCTTGAGATGAGATGTGACCGAGAAACATCATCGAGTTTTAAATACCATTGATATATAAAAATATGGGAGATGTGGCATAATTGCCAATGAGAAAACTATCCACCAAAGTTCAAATGAATCGGATGTAAGTAATTATAGGCAACCGTGCGGCCTTCAACCATGAGAAATACCCATACCGTATAGTCGGCTATATAATCTGTTTATCGCTATTTTGCCTGTAATGTCGTTAATGTTAACATTGACAACGTCACCAGCGTCCTTATTTTTTAGTGACAACTGTCTATCTCAAGCGAGTGGTATGATATGAAAAATCATCACAAAAACAAAAATAAAAGATCAAAGGAAAAACACACCCAATAGCGATAATAAATGCTTATTTGAGTTTGTTTTCCAAATTTGACGTCTCAAAAGTATATCGTTCATAGTGAACGTCATTCAAGTATGACGTGTATGTTTTTTTTTACTATGACGTTGCGCACGATGTTGGTACCAATTCCATTTTGCTATAGATTAGCATAAAAATAAATACGTAGACTGGTCAGTTCGATAAAAATATAGTGATTTCTGATTGAATTCATTCCATTAGACTTGAAATTAAAGAAAAAAAGGAACCGAAATTTAAAATACCAGGAATTATAACACTTAATTATCCCATTTTTACGCAAAAACGTAATGTCCAATGTTTCATTTTGTGTGCAAAAGATCAGAGTTCCGTTTCTCTCCTACGGTATGTTTTCTCTGATCATCGTAAAACTTCACAATAATATTGCTATTGTTATAATTATTCGCGTGTTAAAGCAAAATCAATATCACTGAAACCTTAATCCGGAAAATGTTATTTTTGTAAACGGTCTGAAAAATGTCCAACCGTATGCAAAGTAAGTATATTTCGGGTTTGCGCATTTATACCATGAAATTGAAAAAGCTGAGAGAAAAAATATTTATTATATTTTGAAAGTTTTTTTACTTTTCTCCTGTTTCATGATATTTGTTTGCCGGAAACCATGCGTATAGTTTCTATTGCAATGACTTCAAAAAGTATAGCCATCTTGTCCCAACGAAAAAAACGCTGTATTTTCTTTAAAATTGAGGTTTTAACCAGCTGTCTATCAAATAAGCATAGTTAGATCATAAAAAATAAAACTTGGCGGTAAAGGTTTTTCTGTTTTTCTTCTTAAACAATATAGTGTTTAATATTTTTTCGTTAGGCAACAATGTTTTTAGATCGTTTCAAAAAGTATAGCCGTTTTGTCCCAACGTTCGCAAAACGTAATTGATGTCATGCTCTGGTTTTTAATTTTATATCGTAATTATTTGTTTCCAGTTTAATTCGAATGAAAATAAAAATACATGTATAAATTACAATACAACCAATGTATGAGAAAGGAATAGTTTAAGTTTAAATTCAAATGTTGACCAAATGAGATCGATATAAAAAAAATATCGGGATCTTAGGTTTTTTTTTATAGCATATTTGTTTTATATAAGGAACATTGTCTATCTGCAAGTTTTAAATCTTCAAAAGTAACATGTATATTTTTTTGTTAATAAAATAAAATAGAGAAAAGCCATTGCTGGCAATTATAACAAACAAGGGATATGCCACAAAAATACGGAAATGAGAAAATTTAAAACATGAGTCCCGAATGTTTAACTTCCTAAATATTTTGAGACAAAGAAAGCATCGGGAAATGATAAAATATAGAAAGGAAACGGAAACGGGAAGAAATGCAACAAAAGGAATAAATATGCAAAAAATAGGAGAATATGAATTCAAAATCTAATTTATATTAAAAATACATCTGTGTAAATTTGGACATTATTGTATCGGTTTCAATAATGCGAACTGCTGCCGAAAGGAAAATTATCAATTATGGCTTGGAAAGACTGACAACTCCTGTAAATGAGTTTCATTAAAAAAATATCTACACGACCACTTTTATTTGTAAATTTATGCATTTTTTCAGATAAACCGAAATCGGTTACCAAATTCACAACAGTATATTGACATCATCAATAATATGCTTGAACGCTTGAAACTTTCTTTGAAATCGTCGAAATCGCCTTATTTTGAGGAACGTCGTGAAACGCTAAGTAGTACCAACATCGTGCGCAACGTCTATATACCGCTTTAAAAAGAATGACGTTGAATTTAAACAAAGAACTAATATTTTACTGAGTTGGTTCTAAGATCGGTGAAAGGTTTTTAATAGATGAGGTACTAAATGTAAGTGACAAACAAATAAGAGAGACAACATAAGTTAACCGGTGATCTTAACACGTGATTAATTTCAAATATACACAACCAACTTATTTAACTGAGGAAATGGCATTTGAGACAACTCATGGTCATAATCTTACCTAGTTTAAACCCTGTAGCTGGGAAGTTATTTTCGTAAAAGAATCTGTCACCGTGTTTATAATTGAGGAACTGAAGAGCTATAAGGCATCTGAATGTTGGTCCTAGGATAGATTCTCCTGATGCAGGTTTTTCTGACATTCCTCCAACAAATAAATCAATATCATCAGGATGACTAAAAAATGAATTGAAACTGGTTATAAACGTTTGAACAAAGTTAGCCAGTCTCCTGTGTTGTAATTCATGAGTCTTATGGTTGTGAACATAAAAAATATATCCAAACGATACCACGCAGGTGTATTTTCACAAATATTGTGCTTTAAAAAATGCACATTCACTACGATTAGCAGAGAATTAACAACTATTTATACAAGTCTCTCACAGTATAATTACATTAATAGTTATCATGGCAAGCTAATTGAATGGTTAAAATGTTATTTTTGTACTCGCAAATTACAAGATATGGCGTCATAAGTGACCGGTGTAATGACCGGTTTGAAGGGAAAGAAAGGCATAAGGATATGTTAAACAAATCAACGATATTAATTGAAAGTACAACATCATATTTGAATTATTGATTCTGTATATTCCACATTTTCTTGTACATGTTTCACTATTGACCAATATGAGGTTGTTTTTTATTTGTTTGATATTTGTTGGCGCTTTTAGATTTTGTTGATTTTATTCTACAAAAATGTTATGACATATATTTATTCTTATAGTTCGATGTTTTATAATTTATTATCTTATAATTAGTTTTTAATTTTTACTGCTGTATTCGTAGCAGATGAATGTTTTCATAAACACGTGCAGTAGATTTGTCATGATCAACCAGTCCACCATATGCATTACCAAAATGTTTTGCACGATACAGACGCAGTATTCTCTATATTCATTGTACCCAGCTATACCATGATCACGTCTATGTGTATATTGAGTGCACCAAGGTCAAATATTTCCCCTGGTTGAACTTCAAACAGATGATTACGCATAGTGTTGCAGACATCCACCTACCCATACGCTTGACGCCAAATTTATTGTTTTTACGTCAAAGGCTCCATTCTGCATTAAAGACCTTCGAAGATCCTTGAAATTGACACCTGATGCACCCATGTGCTTTCCTACTTGTGAATGTCCATATCGAAAGGCGGTGTCACCAAACTCATTGCATGTAGCTCCATCGAGATAAGGAGAATAGAAAGTTTGGTAACCTTTAGAAGTACAAGTTAGGCTTATGATGTTAGCATATTTTGGTCCAACCAGAGCTGCTACAAATTCGTTAAACACAATGTGTTGGTAGACTCCTGTGAGAATTTTTCTAGTTTCTTGAAACAACTTCTCATCATTCCATTCAGTGTTCAAATCTGACAGTTCCTTTGTTATTCTGTTATGCTCCCTTACAAATATGATTCAAGAATAAAAAGAATAAGTCCACATGGGATGCTATGATCAGAAATCGTAAAACTGCCCTTCTT